CTTGGCAGGGGCGAAGGGAGCCATCTTTCTTTCCTACAAAGAAGGGTGTGGCTTGAGGGGACCTCAAGGGGCAGATCTTTCCTTCTCAAAGATTTTCTTCAATGAACTTCTCAGCAGACTCTCTTCAGAGGGAGAGAGTGGGTATGCTTTAGCCACCTTGGGGATGAAGTCCTCAACAAGGTTGATGGCATGATTGTAAGGTCATGATGGAGGTAGGACTCCATCAGAGACTTTTTCAAAGACCAAAGCAAAATCCTTGTATTCTTCTGGGAGGACAGCTTTCAGTTTCTTTTTATGTTCTTCTTGGGCCAACTCAGTGGCCATAGTGATCTTCTGAAGAAGACTATTGTTTGGATTAATCTTCTTTTCTTCTTCTACTAGTTTCCCAACTGACATCACAAAGTGTGCTTGGATGGTTTTGTCTTCTGGTTCTTCATAATCCATGAACTTGTTTATCCCTTTCTTTTCAGCAGGGGACACAAGGTTCACAGTGGGTTCTTCTACCACAACAGAAGAGATGTTGCAATTCAGTTCTTTAGACCTGTTGGTCTTTTCATTGATGGAGAGAGTACCCATTCTCCAATCAACAATGGGATTGTTTTCTTGAAGCCAAGGGAGGCCTAGGATAACATTTTCTGTTCCACAGTTGATAATGTGGAAGAAAGACTGATGGACAAGTCCTTTGATCATGAAGTAAAGAGTGGCAGAAAACAGGATTTTTCCCTTGGAATTTTGAGTTCCATCTGTATTTTTGGCAAGAATGGGTTCTGTGAGTCATTGAGTAGTAATTCAGTGCTTTCACATGAATCCCCAGTCAATACATGATATTTCAGCACTGGAGTCAACCAGTGCAGTGGTGTTGACAGCTTTTCCAGTTCTTTCTGATGTGTAAAGTGTAACAGGGATTTGCATAGTACAATCTGGAGTGGAAGATACTAGTACAGGTGCAACAGAAATAGAACTGTCCTTAGTATGGGGAACATCTGGTGTCGACGTGGAGTTCCCTTCTAAAAATCCTTTCCAACTGCCCTAGCAATGTTTACCAAGGCAATGGAAGGACCAGCAACCTTTTCTTCATCATCACTTTCTTCAACCTCCACAATTTTGCAGATTTTCTTTATCTTCTTTTGGGGAATTTTCCCTTTGTCTGGACATTCTCAAGAGAGGTGTCCTTTGTTTCCACAACTGAAACATTTTCCTTCCTTGATGTGATGGTTTCTTTCTTCTTGGGAGTCTCACTCCATCCACATCCATGGTGTTTGGATCTTTTTCTTTGGTGAGATTGTTCTTGGGATAGAACATTCTCTTCTCCTTCTTTCCAGAGAACTCATTTACCTTCCTCCACTTTGCATTGAACTTTTGTGCCTGTGTATACCACTCAGTGATCTTCATAGGAGTGGTTTCCATCATGTGGATACAGTTTGCAATGAAGAGTTTGAGTCCTTGTGAGAAGAACTTGATCAAAGTGACATCTTCCATGATGGTTGAGTCAGCAGTGGCAATTCAGAAGTTGGTGATATATTGTTCCACTGAGTCTTTCTGTTTCATGGTATGCAATTTGGCAATTGCAGTACTGGCAGTGTCAGAGGAGGTGAAAGAGTTCTTGAAATCTTTCATAAAATTGGCAAAGGAGCCAAAACTTGGGGGGTTCTTTTCCAGAGATGTCTTCTGGAAGGTAGCTGCCCAGGAATGAGCAACACCTTTCTTCATATACAACAAGGTGTAGACAACCTTTTTGGTGTCAGTGTCATAGATTTCTTCATTCACTAAGAGGTAGGTCTGTACAGAGTACAGCCAACTCATAGCATTCTTCTGGTCACCATCAAAATTGGATGGGGCAACAATCTTCAATTTGGTGGCTTTAGTGGCAATAGCACTGACCATTGCCTTTGACGATGAACCAGACATCATAATCTGGGGTGGGGGCAGGGGTGTAGGAAGTGTGGTGGCAGGTACTGGTGGGATGGGAGTACCAAGTGTGGCAAGGGACTGAGTAAAGAGGTTTGAGAGGATACCAGCAGTGAATCATCTATCCAGTTGTTTGGGTTCATTGGAGGAGGTGTTGATGACAGTGCTCTCCTGTTCTTCATCAGAGGATGATTCTTCACAAGTGGGTTGCAACAGTGCCCAACATCAGTTATTTCAGGGGTTCATGGTGGTGCACTAAACAGTGACCAATTCAGCCAAAGGCTGGTAGACTTGAGCTTTTGTTATGCTCAACCAAAGTCAAGACATAGGGAGAGCTCAAATGCAGACAATGGGTTTCTACTGAGCAACAGCTGCAGTAACCTTTGTAAATGACAAAGGATTTGGTCAATGCTGGTAAGAGTGATCTGGGTTAGGGATACTGAGGGCAAAGTTCTGAGAGAATGCTGTGTATGATTGAGCAGCTCAAGTCTGGGTTTCCAGGACTTGAGCCAACAGCCTAAATACTGTACAAGAGACAGACCATGAGGTGTCTGCATGTAATGAGGTAACTATGCTATTGGTGGAGATAGAGAGCCATCAGATCAGAGAAGAGATGGCTCTAAAAGGAAAGATAGTCCAACAGATCAAACATGAGGTAAATGTAAGGTGAAAAGAGAAAACAGGGGTGAAATGTAACAACTTCTGGGATATCTCACAGCATTTCCAACAACTTATCTGATGCTCCTGGAACTGTGGGTGGCACTGTAGGGAATAGGTACTCCCTACTCAGGAGTTTTAGTTATCTTATCATTTCTACAGTATTTTTGCTTTGATTTATGTTAGTGATACTTGACCTACCTTTGTGGCACATTTTTGGTAGCTTAGTCAGCATTTTTGCGCACTACTGTAGGTCTACAGTACACAATACAAAAAAAAAAAAGAGGGGAAGAACCAGACAGCAAGACAGCAATAATCAAAGACTGTGAATGAAAGACTGTGACAAGCCCTCATTGAGGCACTCCCAGATGACCTCCAGACACCATTACTCACTCCTTTCACTGCTCCATTCCTTTGTCTCTTTTCACTTGTCCAAGCACAGAGTCCCTCTAGGTCAAACTGGACCCAATTCTATCTACCCCTAGGAGTCCCCTGCACTCCTAGACTTCATTCTTTACCCAACCTACAGCACCTCTGATAGTACTCACTTGCATGATACTCCTGGAGTCACAGGTAATAGTTTTAGAGGTGCATACAGTTACCTTGATTATGTGCACTACTAATGAGTCATCACTATCAATTGTCTAGCCTTGAAATCAGTCATGCTGGCTGCAAGAAGCTCAGATACTCATGATGCCACTGACCTTTTTACTGGACAGGGTGATGGACCAACTGCCCCCCTCAGACATGGACTTCTTCACTTCTTCTCCTGATGTATGAGCAACACCACCACTAGATTTGGTTCATTGATTCCACAGCCATCCCACTTAGAACCCCCAGTGATCCATGTCAACCTGCCAGTGCCAAGTCAAGCAGAGCACCCAAGACCTCATGTCATGCAGGGTGGAACTCATTCAGGTGATGAGAATGTAGCATTTAACCCTCAGTGTTGGGCATTTCCCAAGTTGGATGACCTGGGATTATCCAGCAAGTGTCTGTCTACTGTTTCTGCAAGACTTTTGGCTGCTGAGGAAGGTTTTTTACCCATAACCAAAGTGGAAGCTGATGGTCCCCAGGGAAGTGATCATGGTGGGCACTCTGACCTGACAGTAAGCAGAGTTCATCTGCCCCACCCTTACTCTGCTCCTCATCCTATATCTTGCCAAGAGTTATTTGTCCATCCACCTCAGCAACACAATTTCATTGATTGGCTCCCTGGGCCTGGAGTGCCACCATAGCAAATGCTGGGTGCACCATATGATTACAATGCTAGCCCACATGGAGGGTGGCACAACCATCCAGCAGCACCCTACCATCCTGCATATCCACTGCCCCATCTGGCCTACCATGGCTCATATGCAATTCCCAGTGCTTCCCATGTCCCCTCCACCAACAATGCAGGGCATCCAAACTATGGTGCCCAACTCACCACTGTCACTCATGGGCCAGGTTATCATTTTGGCAGTAACATTCATCATGACCCTGCACCACCCAGATGAACTGCCACCCTCCCTGATGCTAATTCTGCCCACATGTGCCCACCCCCCCTCATGTCTTGGTGATATGACAACATCAAAATCATCTGGTGAGTAATCCATTGGACATCCACAGAGGATCTTGTGTCTAGTGGGGTGGCAATATTTACATAGCTGATCTTCAATTGATGTCTGTATCTTGATATACATCCTTTTCTATTTATGAGTCACATCTACCCTGAACCTTCTACATTCACTCTCTTCTTCCTTGACTTGAGATTGCCTTATGCTGTGTATTAGTCATCATGCAATATACTTCTTTTCCATGTACAACATATTAATGCATTGTGATTTAGCAACATAAAGTTCACAAGTCAAAACTTGAGGGGTACCTCTGGGAGATTGTCAGTATATACTTAGATGAGCTCCCAGGAAAAGGCTTGTGGAGCCCCCTTGGCAGGATAGAAAATACTTAAAGAACCCTCCCAGTCTGATTAGCACCTCTTGACAGATGGTTGGAACATAGTTAGATGAAACACAGAAAAAGGCTTGGGAAACCTCCTGGGAGAGATAGAAAACACTCAAAGATCCCTCCTGGCTTTATGGCAAATCTTGCCTGATAGCCAGGTGGGCCTCCATAGAGGGATGGAACACACTTGGCTCACCTTTGCCACAACATTGATCTTTGCCATTAGGGATAGGGAGGGTGCCTCATGACCATTGCTGGAATTGGCTGGAACCTCCCCCTGATCACTGGCATCTATTAGGTACATTATTGCATACACAATAAATATATCTGAAGACTGTGGGAAGGCCCAAAAACTACTGCCAAGGGTGTGTGGGTAGGGTTACCAATACTTGTGAAGGTTTGGCATACCTGTACTGATCCCAATAGACATCAAGGGAGATGCTGAAATTAATTTTGATGCATTTGGGGTGTCCAGTCAAAAGTTCTAGGACTCATGCCTGCACAGTAAGGATAGATGTATGGAGGGGAACAGGTGGGGCTTTGGAAAATATCTGATTGGATGGATGAGGCAATCTGCAGCAGGGTGACAACAAGGAAAGGGAGTAAGCATCTCCAGCAGATGGCAACTTGTCTGTAACAGCTTGGAGGACTGCTGGATCCTCTAGCACTGCCTTCAGACCAGTGTGGACATCAATATCCATCCTGCAGTGTATCATTGGGAGCACACATAGGGAAGCCAAGTGTCAAACTCTGATATTTGATTTTTCACAACACTTCTCATCCATTGTCCATTAGGTAAGAATGAACCATTTCAACAGTGACAATTGAGATGTTGCAGTACATATGAACACATCTACATACACTCTGCACCAATCAAGGCCCTCACCTGTTCCACTTGAATCTCTCTGAATTCCCACTGTAATTCTACCAGGCATGATAAAATGCTTGTCATGAGATGTTGGAGGCTAAGCAGTTCTCTGGTGGCTTGTCTAATACAAGCCTCTACTTGAGCAAGATGAGCTAAATGAGAGGTGGCAGTGGTGCTCAGGGCCACTTGAGAAGTTGAGGAGAGAGGTACAGGATGAAAAGAAGTGCAAGCCAGTGGTGGCTTGTCTAGACATGAGGGGGGCCCCCTGACAATCTTCATGGAGCTGTGCTCCTCAGCTGCAGGCAGTGCTGACAGTGGTGGTGGCTGAGGTGAAGAGGTCTGGACCACCACAGTCAGTAAAATGGATGGAGATGTGGTGCTCTTAAGCCATTTGGAGGCTGGATTGGGGGGTGTTGCATCTGGTGGTGGTGGGGACCACAGGTGTTTGTTGGATGATAGCTTCATAACCTGTTGCTTATTTTTGACCTGCAAGTTGGTTAAATCCAGTTGTCAAGATTTGCAGTTGCAAACTCACCTTCCTACCTGCTGTCTGTGGCTGAATGCATGGGTCATTGGCCATTTCAACCTCCTACAGAATTGCACTGATTAGCATCTACAGGGCAATGGAGAAGGTACATACTTGAATACCTGTTTCACCACCATGGTTCTTGGCTGAGCCAACACTAGCCTCAGTGCATGTGACCCCTTCTTTCTGTAAACAGGTAAAACAGATGGTCTTGATTAAACATTATGACTTACTTGCAAAGGGGCAACTCTCTCCTTGCTCTTTTGCATGTGGGAGCTTGTCTTTGACAGCCCAGGTTGGGAATTGTCACTGCTAGCTGACTGATCCTCTTGCTGATGATGTGAAATCATGCCTTCAAATTGGCATTGAAGGGCCTTGCAGCGGCAGATGTTCCAATTGTCCCCAGGGGAAAATTCTGGCATCTTAATCTGCACTCGGCAACTCTCTTTGAGCAACTCCTCCAAGTTAGCCTGTTAAAATGTTAGCTGTGGAACTTTGCAAAGGACCCATATCTCACATAAAACAACATCCAGCTGTTAAGCCAGTACTCCAGTTCAGCATTGGGCTTCTGCTCGACAGGTGCAGATGCCGCACAAAGGTCAATCTCATCCAACAACTTCTTCCACTTCTTGGTGAAATCCTCCTCGATGAGTTGGTTCTTGCCTGGGGTGGCCATATGGGAAGGTGGGTTGAAGACCACAGAGTGTGGGAACATGTGGCTAGTGGGCGGCCAAGTGCTCGACGAGCAGATTGTTTCAGTCAAGAGCTGTCCGAGCTCACCCACTCCCCAATATATCGTGACATTCCGGCGGTATTCCAACTTAGGAATGTCAGGGAAGCGTTGGTGTGGACGAGGCAGTAATAATAATAAAAATTACTAGTGATGCACTCTGTATGTGTGCTATAAGTATAAAAGATGTAAGTCGTGCTGCGTCTCTCGCTTTTTTGCAGGATGACGATAGCTTCCTGTTGATCCTAGGATCTTCCCGACAGGCCAAGCAGTTCCAGAGTTATTCGCACATTTGTGGGAAGGCTCGCCCTTGAGGTCTCGTCGTATCCCGCACGTTGCTGTGCCGTTGCTCTCGCCTTTTGGGTCGTTTGTTTCCCTCACTCAGCTCTCGCTGGGGACGGCTCATTCATCCAATTCCGTGTGGTTGTTATAGAGATATGACCGTTTTCGTGTTAGGAGTGCTGCTGCGATGCTTTTGTGCATACCTCGTGACTGGGTGGTCAGGTTAGCATGATTCCCTTTCCTCTGCACTCTTATAAGTGTTCCCCACCATCTCCCATTGTTTTGTGTTGATCTGCCTAGCCGTTATCGTTCAGGCGACTCTCCTCTCCCCACCTTTGAGGACTTGAGATCGTATCTCATGCCTTTCTCCGCCATTCCTCTCGCTTTTTTGACGGTTTGTTCCCCTCGCTTGTCCCTTCCTTTGGATACCTTTTCCATCCAGTTCCGCGCAGCCATCGTCGAGATATACCTGTTTTTGTATTCAGAGGGTGGTAAGGCAACTTTAGGTATAGCTCTGGATTGGGTGGTCGAAATGGCATGGTTCCCTTTTCTGGTGTATGTCTGCGGGTTCCCTACCATCTGCCATAGTTTTGTATTGGTCCCCCCAGCTGTTGTCACTCGAGGGTCTCCCCTCTCCCTCCCCCATGTGATACCTCACCGACACGTACACAATAGCTCGCCCGTTTCGCCATCCTACTTTTCACTTTTTCAGATTATGGTGCTACTCGACAAGACCTTGTGAACAGTATATAGCTTATGTGCTTTGCTTCTGTTGCTTTCCTTTCTGACTTACAACTACTGTGTTTTTGCCTCGTAGTACGCATTTTTACATGCTTAGTCAGCACCATGTGTGTACAAGTTTTTATTGCACAAAAACAACAGACAAGTTGCAGTTTGACCAGATATTCCTGGACACCATCAGGCCAGGTCTGCAAACTCTTTGTCCTCAACAATCATACCAGACTGTTAAGTCCAATCACATGCAATTTCCTTTCAGGGGGGGGACTGGTTGCATTGGGGTTCCTGCATTTTGTTGTACATGTCATGTCAGATAACATCATGCAGATGACCATGGTCAGTGGCATGTGCTGCTTGTGTATTGATGTGGCTGGTGCCAGCATTGTTGCTGCTATCAGCTACAGGAATTTACTGCTGAGTCTGTGTACCCTAGAGGATCATTGTTGGTATGTCGAGCAGACTCAGTGTGCAAGTTTGTGGAACAGTACCCCTTCCTGATGTTGAAGGATATTAAATCTATTGTGGCATTTTAGGTGCCATTCAACCTGTGAATGCAAAGTCCAAGTTTTCAACTTCAGCTTTGGTTAAGAGGTTCACATGATGTGAACTATCACATGCATCCACCTGAGGTATGCAACCATTGTCACCCAGTTACTGTGATCATCAAATGTCTGGCTCATCTGCAGGATCAACCCACTTGTTGCACTTGTATGGCCTTACAATCAATCCCCTAGACCTGCAGAACCCCCTGCCTCCCCCCAGGACTCACAAGAAAGCTGTAGTATGGACAACAGAGGAGGAAGGCATGTTACTGGATTTCTTGGCCTCTCATCTTTCACAGGCCAGCGATGGGAACTTTAAGAAGGCTACATGGAACACCACAGCAGCCCACATGGCTCATAATTATCCACTGGGTCTGGATAACAGTGATAAGACAGCTGAATCATGTGAGCAGAAGTTCAAGGCAGTAAGTCATCATATCATTCTTTTTTTTGCCTTGCTAACAATTATTCAGCTTGAAAAATCCTACTATGCTGTCACTGATCTTAAATCAGTGGCCTCTGGCTTTGCTTACAATGATGAGCACAGTGCGATGGTCTTGCTGGACAATGCCAATCTTTGGGATTGGTATGTAAAGGTAATGTAGTTTTTTTCTTGTCAGATCATCCATTAACATCTAGTCAGGCACACAAAGATGCAAAGCCATTTCACAATTCCAGGTTCCCCCACTTCACCAGTGTAGAGCTCCTTCTCCCCTTGCATGGCTGAGGTCAGTTTATCTACTGGCCACATGCCACTACTGTGCCTTCTACAACCATGACCTCTGCCTTTGATACTCCTGCCTCTACTGCACCCCCCACTGCTTTGACTATTCCTACCCCCCCTCCCTCCCTCTCCCTCCTCAACATGACACACAGTCCATGGATCCAAACTTCATCCTCCCTTCCATGCCATCAAGTTTTTTGTCACATGTGTCAGCCAGGTCATCATCATCATCAGCTGTTACCAGCATCAGTCACAGAAAAAGGAAAGCTGAGTCCACTGTGATGTCCAAAGGTGGATCGAAGCACTCTCGGCCCCCATCAGCCAAGACACATGCTGAAGAAGATCACAGTTCATTCATCACCACCATCACCTCCAGGCTCAATAACTTCATGCATGTGATTGCTGCCCCATTGCCCCCACCACCCATTACCAATCCCCTCATCAATGCTGCCATGGACTACATCAACAACATGCCACAGCTCTCAACAGACAATCAGATCAACATTGGCGACTACTTCTTCAGTGCATCTCCAGATGAAGTGAATATTTTCCTCAAGCATCAGGAGCTGGTGAAGCAGATTTGGGTGCAGCATCAGCTGATGAAGTACCAGGATGGGCAGAGATAGGTGTTTGTTTGTTTGTTTGTTTTTACAATATACAAATGTACCCCCCCCTGCATATCTTTTCAAGTCCCCCCCTTTATACAAATATGTACATAATAAAATGTACATGACTATGACTAGCTTCCTTTTGACAATGGAAGTTATTTTTCTACATGAGTGTGAAACAATTGTAAGAACATATATTTGTACACCATGAAATCTGAATGTTCAGGCTCAGAGAAGGCCCCTAATTGTAAGCTGGTGCTGATAGTCAATCCACATCTCCTCCACAATGTTGTCACACCTATTATCAGCCCTTCTCCTCTCTGCAGCATCTGCTGGTCCATCACCAAGGCTTCCAATACCATCACCCTCTCCTATGTCCATGGCAAGTTCAGGGTCAAAGAACTCTTCTGGATCATAGTGCCATATGAAAATGTGGAGGGCACAGAGAGCAGCAGGTACTTGAGTTTGGGTGTGGATGCTATATTCAGGGGAAATTTGAAGAATCCTCCACCTGCATTTTATAACACCAAATATCTGTTCAATGGCATTTCTAAGTCCAGCATGGTGAAGGTTGAATAACTCCTCTTAGTTTTGAGGTCTATAAAATAGAAGTTACAGGTACACTGAGCAGGATGGAATAGCAAGTTACCTTAATCCAGCCTAGCACCATTCTTTCAGATGGTAACAAACACCTTGATAGGGAACCAGAAGTGCATCACAGGTCCCAAACCCTGCATCTGCTGTTGACCCATCAAAGCCAGTGAGGGCATATGTGAAGAAGAAGTCAAAATCACAGATGAAGAGACAGTTTTGAGATAGGTAGCCCTTCTGGTTCCTCATGTAAGGCTGGTCCTCAGCAGCAGTGAATGCTCAAATATGAGTGCCATCAATTGCACCAATACAATCCTGGAAAAATTGGAAGCATGGGTCACTAGTAATTATAGTTGATATGGGAGTGTTGTTGGTGGGGAATTGCACTTGGGATGCATAGAATTGTCCCCCAGAAAAAAAAGCCAACATTGCTTTGAAATATCTAAAAAATTGTGAGAAAAATATCAGACAGTCCAATGAACTCCCTACCTAGTGATGGTCCCTGGTGAGTGTTGGAACCTCTCAGCAACATGCTGGGATGACAACCCAGTAACACAGGTGTAGAGGAATATCCCAAGTTGTTCCTCCACAGAAATTCCATTGTGAGAAGGCACAAAACCATGATGGGTGAGCACCTGCATCAGGTGATCAAAAACCCCATGGCTGACACCAAGGCAAGTCCATATCCTGTCTGGATGACCATTCAGGAGCTCTAGCATCCACCCCTCACCAGTCAGGATTGAGGTATGGTAGGGGATTGGTTCTGAGTCAGAATGAAAAAGGAGGTCATAGAGGCATAGCACCTGGATCATCACTGCTACTACAAGTGCAGCAAGATGGCAACAACAATGGTGCTGGAGCTGCTGTGCTTCAAGATCCATAGCAGAGTTGTTTGATCTGTTATCACAATGTTATCTATTGAACTACAAGTTGTGTTGTTGTCTTATATAATCATCACATGACTACATTACTGAAGCAGAAGCCCAAAACTTGGAACTTCACATTCACATAGGCATGCACAGCTTATATAATCATCACATGACTACATTGCCGAAGTCGAAGTCAAAAACTTCGACTTCAACTTTGGAGGGTGAACAGCACCCAATGTGCTTTAACAGACTGTTACCGACATTCGTAACCTTAAAAGTATCATGACACTACACAAAGGGAGACAGACGCCGGTATATCATTTCCCCACCATTCTATATGGTGGGGCCTGAGAAAACAGTAAACTTACAAATGACCATTAACATGTCAACTCACGTTGAGCAGTCACCATCATTCCGGAACTATTGCAGATACTCACAACACTAAGAGGAAACAGACAGGAGTATATTACTGGGTTACGCCGCCCAGACAATGCATAATCTCACTAAAGTACTTAAGCATTGACATTAACGGGCATGCAGCCCATGTTGGCAGTGCCATACTGAAATAGATAAATTAGGATCAATTTATAACGTGAATGAAGCAACGTACCATGTTGTTGCTGGTGCAGCAGACGGGCTGAGTGCTGCACTGAGCACCACTGCCAGTGCCAAGAACGGTGACAGGGGTGCAACTAACACCAACGAGAGCGCTGACCGGGATGTCAGCACCGATGAAGCCGGCATTGTCGAACAAGCTCTGGACCTACAAGGGGGTCAGCAACATTGACTAAATATCATACAAACATCACATACGCTCTGGACCTGGTTGCAGCACGAGAGAGCACCAGTGTCGCACTGAGTGGAGCCACCACGAACTTCGAGAGGTCCAGCAATAGCAAGAGCAGCGAAGGCAGCAACGGCAAAGATGCGGGAGAACATGACGATTGTTTAGAGAGTGACTGGGTTGAGTTGGCTCAAGAGAGTGTGTTGTAGTTGGCAGAAGAACGACGAGTCGACGAAAATTTCAATCTCCCACTGCCATCCTTATATACGTTTTCTCCGCTTAACCAGCCGATTTTTGTTGCCGTTAATATGTAATATGTAAGTAGCACGCGCTGTGAAGCCGAAGTGTGCTGTCATGGCTGAACTTGAACATGTCGTAAGTGGTGCTACCCCAATTTGGTAAGTCCGCACAGTCGCACACACTCCAGTGGTGCTCGCCGCGTTCTCCGAGTCCATACTTACCTTCACATGAAATCTATTCATCCAACGAGCACTGTAGAAAAGGACATTATAATGCATACGACTGGGACCGCCAAAATCCAATGCATTATGAGAATCATGGGCTATCAGCATGCAATTCGGCTGGTTGGGAACGCTACCTCATCAAATTTTCCCTCAAAAAGTTGTGCGTTATGCTTTACGATATATGCATTATGACCTTTTCAACTTTATTCACCATGGGTCTGCCAAGTCTGCCCCGGGACCCTGAGCTTGAAGTAAGTAGGTAGGCCACCTCCAGCAACGTTCCAGAGAGGCTCGATCGCCGCACGAATTGCTTGTGGGAGGTATATGGTCTTGCCATGTATCCCCGGTGCGTGTATTCTTACGTGGCCAGTAGCACTTCCTTGACTCCGCGGGGTCAATGCTACTGCTGCACCGTTATTGCCACCGCCATCCTTCTTATTGTTGACCTTCCCTGGCCAGGTTCCCCAGAATTGTGAGTCCTGTTCATCCAGTTTCTGCACTGACGCTCTTTATCTCCAACCATGTCGCACTATTTATCTCTCTGCTCATTCCGTTGTCCGGCCTTCATGTACCATATGCTTGCCAAGGTTGTTCTCAGTTCACACATTCAACCCAACCAAGTTTGTTCAAAACATCTGGTTGCGGGTCTCGAGATGCGCATTCGCAGCTTTGAGCACAGCACTGCAAGGATGAACAACGAGAGCCCGATCTACGCACTCATAGGTTGATTTAAACCGGAGCCACTGAGCAGCTGCTGCAGACCTTCCTACCTGTATGTACGTACATTTCAGGGCAGAATCAACATCGTTACTAGCTCCGGAGTATGTCATTAATAGTGTGAGTATCATTCATTCTCTCACTGCCACCTTTCTTTTGGATAGAGTCGCACGTAAGTTCTTTGACATGTATCATGTGGTGCCCGAGGGCCATCACCCAGGAATGAACAAATATGCAATTCGCCACGTCGGTGAAAGCGAAGAACAAGATATGTTTAACGATTGAATGCCAACGTGGTGATCAGATCGCATGTTGGAGAGCACGAGACAGTTCATCGTGCCGGGCCGACCGAATGGCAACCTGCAGTTCGGGCAGAAGATCCCAAGGGTTCGGAATCAAAAGTCAGTGCAGCGAAATTTTTCGAGGCTTCGATTCTCTGTGTAGTCACCTGCGCTCACTCTTGACCGAGAAGCGGAAAGTGATACGGGATGCGTACGTACTATACGTCAGCGTCGTGTTCGACTTGGAAGGCTTCGATAGACTTTGATCCGTAGTTGAACTTTTTCAGATGGAAAGAATAAGCGGTCTGGAACTGGTCTAACACGAACTAGGCTTGGAGCCAAGCAGCCTAGTCTGTCCACCACAACGAGGAAAGTCCTTTTACGTAGAAGTTCTTCGTCTGTATGCTAATTAGGCGTTACACCTCCCCGAACTTTCCAGACAACTTTTGGATATCAGAGGGTATGTCTCATAATACACACGCGAGCCTGAGATGTTGTTTCAAACTCCACACGACGACGTTGCCCCGTACACGTTTTCAACCTTCTGAAATGTGAGCTTCACATGAGTTCACCGTGCGGCTGGCGCTCAAAACTCAAGCTGAGCCCAGGAAGACCTAGATGACGTCCCGCATGAACTTTAGGACCTTTTCTCTTTGGCCAAAGTGGGCTGACACGATATCCTATAGCCACGGCGAAAACGAGCCGGAAATTCCGCATTTCTGCAACGCATTAATAGGAAGCTCAGGGAACCACCTCAGCCGGTCAATCAGTTGAACGGATTAATCAATTAGCCAGCTACGGGCTGTGTCGGTGGTCGTTCGCTAGACATCATTCATTTCCCTCGGAATGCCTTGAAGCATGTCCCCACATCATGCCAACAAGATGACTTCCAACGCAAGCAGCTCCAGGTATTTTTACCCCCACCTGTATTATATGCAATCCGCCTCCGGGACGGCCTTCAAATCTTCAACCAGGGTTCCCTCCAATATGAGAGGTAGCTCCGTATGATCACCATCGCGGCCAGCCCGGGATGCCGACCAACCAGTATTTATCAAATTATGGCGATCGTAAGCAGTTCCACTTCACCCCTCCCTCCAGCTTCAATCGGGTCGTCGCCAAACGCTCCCAAGCTTCACTTTACACTGTCGGACACTAGCCTCTGCGATCGGCAATTCGTTCATGCCAAGGGTGCTGATCGCACCTGCCCTCTACGAACGAAATGTGAAACATCAGTTCATTCGATTTTGGAGATTTTGTTGCCGTCGCTGATCGTCACTTTCCCCGTTATCTAGGACATCCTATTCTTGACTGAACGGTTGACGTGACATCTGGATTGTTCGATGCGCGGGCATAGTATGTTTTCTGATAGGACTGTAACTAACTTATACGCAGGACGAGGGCTGCTTGGGTTCGCCAAACGTACACGTCCCGCCTACTTACTTTCTCCATCTTTTTGCAACACAGGATTATATATGCAGTGTGCACGTAAATGTCACCCGCCTGGAAATTCTCGGTAGCAAGTGGAAGGTTTATTGGACGCACCTATTTCTGCCTTCAGACGTACATGGTACCATTGGTGAGTACTTGTCTATGTATGTTATGCGGATCTGGGCATCAAAATATTCCTTGGTTTTCTTCGCACAGTAAGCGGTGGCGCGAACGAGATGGGGCACTGCGGATACAGATGTGACGACGAGGGCACAGACTTCTGGCATCAGGTGTAAAGACAGACAGATCTTTCTCGACAGGAATAAGATTCCCCCCTTTTTGTACGGACTGTTCACTGTCGATCGGCGGAGCCAGCACACAGACGCTACCGTATGATAGGCAAGTGAGATAATCCTGTCAAGCGGGCTGTTATTTTCCACGGACACCTCGAAGTTATCGCCCGATCGAAAACTCACGCGAAGGGCGTAGCAACGTCACCAATGACCAAAATCTGCGGGCCACCGTGGAGCTTTCTAACAGTCACTGCGCAGATAGGTCTAAAGACGGGAGGTCTATCGCATCAAGCATTGCATGTGACACAGAGGCACACTACGAATTAAGCACAGCAGCAGATATGCATAGGACCTGCGATCGGGACGGTCACCGCCCACCACAGAGCGGTCTAGAGCCTCATGACCAAATGACAAAGGACCTCATACATAAATGTCCCCGCTGGGTTGAGGAGGTATTCCGGCCTGCAGGAAAAGATTGGCATCCAAGCCTTCAGCGCCCGCTTGCGATGCCGAGCCATTATTAATGTGGGACAGACAGGGTCGGAACTGTCATTTTTGCCAGCGCCCGCGATCAAACGTTTTTTTTGATGTGCGCAACTCGCAAGCCCTCGGGGTGGAATTTCCTGGGCGTTCCGCGAATCGGCGTTACTGCGGGCGGAGTGTGTTTGACAGTTCCCTGCCAAAACGGGATGGACTCCCTTCAGTGGATTCAAAAATCCTCGAGTATACGATCTCAGCGGTAACCGTCCTCATTCAGGTAAGGCAACAAACCGGTACTCAAGACATCTCGTGTCGAAAAAGAATTCTCTCGTATAAGCGGCAACCGCTTGTGTGGGTCTGGACCACCGCGACGACCAGACCGCGGCCGAAAAAGTGGATATTACTATAGCTTGTTCTGCGAACTACTTACCTCAGGTTCCTCGAAGAGCCGAAGAAATTCCCCAAGCTCTCGGATCGTGGTTGTCATGCTTGTTACGAACGATACGTAATGCACACCATGCAAGGTTTGCATTTTTCGGTGGTTTGCGGTATATAGACTGGCAATAATGCAGTTTGAACGTCCTCAAAGATCACGCGGTACGATTCCTGAACGCGTAGACATGAGGAGGGATGCCCACAATGTTTGTTCCCTTTGAAGGGCCAGAGACCGTGCTGTGGATATCGTTTTCGTCTAAGTCAGAAATCTGATCTAGCGTCCAGACTTAAGTAAGTACGCAGGGGGAAATGATATTCCTGAACGCGGACAAAAAAGTTCCTGACATGACAAGCCCCAACCCACATCATGTGGGCGCGATCCCGGGAAATGAGTCAATCTATCAGACGTCAAGGTTGGACCAGAGGAGTCTCCTTGATTAACCTACTTACCAGTGTAGTACCTAGTTAAATACCTTGCAGTATTACGATTCGTCAGGATGCGTAAGGATCAGAAAAGCAGCTAACTAATAAAGAAAAACTACATTACTTCATCGCAATGACCGAGCATGCCGAGAACTCAACTCTGATCTGATGCGATTAGTTGCGTAAGTATTGGAGGAGCTTCAGTTGACGTCCCTGTCGGTTCTTTTCAGAAATTCATCAAAAACTTGTCAGTGACTTGGCAGACTTCTTATGATAGGATTGGGAACGAGGCAACCTGCACCTTTCCTCAGGAATCTTGTACGTCCATCATGCAGCAGACAACAGCGTGTTTCTGGCACGTTGTGAACGGAGAGCACTGTCCTGCATTTCGCCCACACAGCGTGGGGAATCATCAGCACGGAGATCATATTGAGACAGAGTACTTACATAAATCAATATTACTTGTTAATTTCGGGAGCAAACCATCTGGAACACTCGATCACGTGTCTAGATGGGCTTCTCTTCCATCTGGTGGGCGATATTGGCCAAGTCCGAATGACTGCTTCCAGAAATCGTATATAAGGATGGCAGTGGGAGACTGAAATTTTCATCGACTCGTCGTTCTTCTGCCAACTACAACACACTCTCTTGAGCCAACTCAACCCAGTCACTCACTAAACAATCGTCATGTTCTCCCGCATCTTTGCCGTTGCTGCCTTCGCTGCTCTTGCTATTGCTGGACCTCTCGAAGTTCGTGACTCCTCTCAGTGCGACACTGGTTCTCTCTCGTGCTGCAACCAAGTCCAGACTGTATGTAATATTTTCATTGCGATGTTTAGTCGAGATTGCTGACCTCTATGTAGGTCCAGAACTTGTTCAATACCTCCGGTCTTACTGCAGTCGCCGCCTCCGTCCCGGTTAGCGCTCTCGTCGGTGTTAGCTGTACCCCTGTCACCGTTCTTGGCACTGGCAGCGGTGCTCAGTGCAACACCCAGCCCGTTTGCTGCACCAACAACAACATGGTACGTTGCTTTATCCAAGCATCGTGGATTAACCTCACTTTCACCTATTTCAGTTCGGCCTCGCCAACATGGGCTGCATGCCCGTTAATGTCAATGCTTAAAATACTTTAGCTAGATCATGCATTGTCTGGGCAGCATAACCCAATAATATACCTGCTTCCGTTTCCTCTCAGCGTTGTGGCAATGTCTGTGGTCCTTCCGGAATGTCAGCGACTGCTGAACGTGAGCTGACCGGATGTTAATGGTCATTTGTAAGTTGACTGTTGTCTCGGGTTTAGCCACACGGGATGGTGAACAACGTTAATGGCTACCATGCCAAAATAACAGCCTTCGCTCCGGTGGAAAATTCCCAGGCTACCACTAGGTTAGCTGGCGACCATGCAGCATTACCTTCCGAAACATGCAGTCTGCTGCGATGTGCAAGTAAACAACCAGACGCCGGTCCTGGCAGCAGTAGTAAGTGCCAGTTCACCTCTGGGCAGCTACAACTACCTAGTCAGTGCACTGATTTGGAGTCTTGAGGTATGTTTTGGCAGTGGCAAATGCCACAGGGGGGTGAGGAATGCCAAATGCAGTGGACATTTTAAGTGAGGTCGTTTAGGACGCTGGTTCAGTAGGGTTGAGATGTGAGAACCACTCAGGTGCAGATGGTCCGTTCAGTTTCAGGTAGGTGGAACAAACGTCTTGACTCTTCTCTTTTTGTCCTTATCCCCAGGGGCATCGTTGGGGTTCCCAGGACTTGATACGATATGTCTCAACGAAGGTGACTATGGGTCCGCATTCAGCCGGTCGCGGGGCGAGTCACTTTTCTAACAACAGCTGCACTCGATTTTATTTGGAATCGCAGTTTGGTCAATGTTAACGTTTAACTCGAGAGATGGCAACCGTTACTGTACGAACAAAAAAATTGAAGCGCTTACGATACTTGTTCAAAAAAAACTCAGGTTTTCTCGTGCTGGATGACATACTCGACCTCAGGCTTGATACTCTTAAACATATCCTCCGCCGTGTATTTGGGCTTCCAACCGAGCAAGCGACCCCTTCGCCCGCGGCACCTGGAGTTCGTTCCAAGGTACTCAAGCTGTTGAACGTTTTCGCAGCATTCAGCGCACACTCAAGCATGACATACTTAAAAGGCTCACATTCTCCCTTCCAAAACGATTATAATCCTCATCCGTGAATGGCTCTGGCTCGGGCGACCTCCCCTTCCCAAGCTCGTAAAGCGCTTGTGCTACTGCCTTAGAAACATCATACATCTTGTGTTCGCCGTTTTCGGCGAAATGTAAGCCTTCGCGGCCATGGGCAGCCTTGCCCGAGAGCGCGTTCTCGTACACCACTATATATAAATCGGAAACTGGGTAAAGTTAAAAGCACACAGTGCGGATAGATATATCAATACTACTGGAGAGAAAAACGTCGGGGTACTGACCATCATCAATGTGGACGTTAGGCCAGATATTTTCTCCCTTTCCTACGACGCCTCCTTGACCCTTGAGAAGCCCCGCACGGATAAGCATCGGGATTTGAACGGAGCTAGGATTTTGCACGCCAAGGGCCACAAGCTCCGTCTTCGCTTGGGAGTAAATAGTAGAAGGCAAGATAATATAACTCTTAATGTAATCTATAAGAATGCCATAAGATGATTCGGGGTTGCCAAAGAACAAATCCACTGCTTACGGTCTCTATCTGCCTCTAAAATGGCCAAGTCGACGTTCCGATGCATCTGCGTAGGCGGAAGGCTGTCGATCTGATCTGCGTCCATATCATCGTAAATGATATCTGTGGAATGCAAGCCTTTCGCGTCGTCTACCAGGACACCTGACCATTCCTTCGGTACTCCATTAACTTTGCATAGTGAAAAGCCTCGCTCACCGGTACCAGACTAACCCAACCCAAATCCCACATCAATCAACGACCATACCGGACGTCAGGAGAGCCGCGGCTCACAGTATGGAGAAAAAGGGGTTGCACTCCGGTCCTCTCATGCTTCTTCTTCATCCCCTTCAAAATTGCCTGTGCAGCAGACAAATTGTCTGCATCTGCCTGATGCATTGCAGTACAGTCACTTGCTATTCGTCGACACAGATCAGAATGAGTACTCACGCAGGAGAATACAACATCCGCATGTGCTGCCTGATCCTCAAGGAGGTCAAGATCGTCATATGACCCGAGGACAGCCTTGACACCCAAGGAGTGCAACGCCGGAATTTTATCCTTTTTGGAAGGGCGAATGAGGACCCAGATCTCAGTGTGCTCGAAAGTGGGGTGTTCTATGAGGCGCGAAAGTACGCTGCCACCAACGAAGCCTGTTCATCGACAAACCGTGAGTTTGATGAGGAATTGTTCCTACATTCGACTTACCCGTTGCGCCAGTTAAAAAGATGCGGGTGCCGGTTGGAGCCATAGTTCTTGTTCAGAGTTGCTCGTGGTGAGAACCAACGGAGAAGTCCGCGAAAGCGAAAAGGAGGGCCACTGTCGTCATATAGACCTCATACTGCTGACTGAGCAGGGCGAGAAGCTGATTCCATATCGTGCTGTGCATGCGATACAACTTGGCGCCACAACGTCCAGGTCTTCCTGTGGCGCGGTGTCCGTCCTCGGGATTGAAGGCTCAAACCGTGGGGTAGTGCTCAAAAACCATGGTGTGTAATGCATCTACCCTGGGAGAATGACGATGCAGTAAGATGATGCAATTATTAGCGAATACAGCGACTCCTCACCACTATTTATAAGTGGAGCATGTCAAAGGTTGTTGGTGTAGATTTCGGTACGTCTCAACACCCGGTTTTCATTTTCCCAACACCACGCAAGGTAACACATTTCTTCGAACGCTAAGCGCTAACGTTGATAGAGGAGCATTCGGCCTGTGTCGGCGCCACTATTAGTCCACGACCTGAACCTCGTCGGTGAGTTGGTTGGACTCGGACCGACTCGACACCGTATGTACAAAGCAGTCTCTCCTTGTAACACGCCGGAAGTCTGCTGTGAGATGTAGCAGCTAGAACAGGTACAAATGGCGGTGTTTATACGCATCCATGAGACTCCGGGCAGCAAGCATCAGCAACTACCAACCCACGCCTGAACGTTCTGAACCCGGTGCTTCGGGCTGTCCATTACACCGACGTTAATGCAAAGGACTTTTAAACGAATCCGACAGGTGAGCGCACGGTCCAGGAGCCTCAAGTAGTATTAGATGGCTGTCGCCTTGTAATGATCAGGGGTGCCGAGGTGTGTGCGTCGGGAGCGACAAGGGTGAGTACAGCGAAAATGCGAAAGAATGAATCCGGGTCTACTGCGGAGTGGTCTCATGTGCCAGACTAAGAACGAAAACAAGCAGGATGTTGGCCTGCTGCTCCTCAGTTCCTCCGTAGGCACCGTAGCATTTCGCAAGTCTCCGTATGCAACGCGCTGCGCGACAACGTCGGAAAACAGCCTAGACTTCAGTGAGAGAGACACATTGACGGCCGTGTCGTCGGTTTGGCATGGCCACCACAATCTGTATCGGAGCACATTTCAAAGCCGGAACCTTAAAACTACACACTTTGCGGACGCTTGAAGACTCAGTCCTCAAGCCGGCGCTCGCTCGTCCTCGGTAGAGTATATAACTTACTCAGGCGATTTATGAGCAGGTAAGCTATATTGCAGGATTAGAATAGCACCAGCGTAGAACGCGTGCAGATTCTCACTATAAGTAATGCACAGTTGGCGTGCTCGAACAGAGTCGTGACGTCGTATTAGTTGTCGCTACGGAACATTTAGTATCGCCTTGTGATGACTGACTCTTTTATCGGATTTTACCGTCATGTTGCGCGTCTGTCAACGAGTAACTCTGCGGCGACGCACCGGCCATCGCCTAACTGTCTACAGGCAAATTTCACAGTCAACAAAACCGCTGCAGAAACGCGTTATTTTTTCTGGTATTCAGCCGACAGGCGTTCCTCACGTCAGTCCAACCGTTTTCCGCCCAGAGACTCAACGCCTTGACAGCGCTGGCAATACAGCTCGGAAATTACCTAGGAGCTCTTTCTAACTGGGTTAAACTACAAAAGACAGCAGACCCCGATGATACATTGCTGTTTTCTATCGTGGGATGGCATGCGCTGACTTTGCCCCAAGATCCCGCTGTGCTGCGGTCGGCCAGAGATGATATGTTGGCGGTTTTGCTGGCCATAGGGCTCGATCCCGAACGGTCCGTTCTGTTCCACCAAGACCATGTAAGTGGCGAACTTTTCCGACATGTCCGTGTAGCCGATCAACCCGTTAGAATTTGCACCACGTAGAACTCTGCTGGATCCTGAATTGCTTGACCCCGGTTGGCAAGCTGCGTCGGACGACAACCTGGAAGGTGAACACATCGTTACAGCCCACTGAGCTAACTATCTGACGCTGTCTTAGTCCCGATTGGCCACGTCTAGGAACGCCACCTCAGAGGCTGAAGTGGACGAGTCACTGTTGAACTCCGGCTTGTTCACATATCCTGTTCTTCAAGCTGCAGACGTACTCATATACAGGTCATAATTGAGCGCGTCTTGTCGATGGCTGGTTGATTCATCGTGTCTCTAGGGCTACCCATGTTCCCGTCGGAGAGGATCAGCAACAACACATAGAACTGACACGGGATCTCGCGGAGATATTCAATCGCACGTTCAAAGGTCAAAAACCATTGTTTCCCCTTCCTATATACGTCAACGGTGAGTATATACAAAACAGTTTTGTCTCTACCCGCTAGACAGCGATTGTAATAGCACCATCGAAACGAATACTGTCGCTCAGAGACCCAACATCCAAGATGTCCAAGTCGTCACCAGATACGGCATCCCGTATTCTCTTGTCAGATGCAGCGTCTCAGATCAAGTCTAAGATCCGTGCTGCCGTGACTGACTCGATACCGGGTATCACGTATGATCCCGTCTCTCGCCCAGGCACATCGAACCTCCTGACTATCCTCGCTGCATGCACGGGGAGTAACGCACAAGATATTGCGGGGATATACACAAGCAAGGGACATGGGCAATTGAAAAATGACGTCGCAGACGCAGTTGAAGAATTGCTCAAAGGTCCTAGATCGGAGTTTGAGAGGATTAGACATGAAAAGGCATTCCTGGACGAGGTCGCACGAAAGGGGGCATCGAAAGCGATAGTGTATTCCGGTGCTACGATGGAAGACGTCAAGCGACGGATAGGGCTGGCATGATGAAGGTGTGAGTCCGCTGTTGACTAATTTAGTGGTTCAACTGCAGAAGATTGGCGGGGGCCCATCTGTCTCTCCGGTTACATTCGGGCTATGTACGGTAGAGCAATGACATTTTGGGTAGAGCAGGGATACAGTGAGCATTTTCCAGGGGTTGACATACAAGATGCTAACGTACATGATACCGGGAGCAAGGAAGACTGCTGAAAAAGACGGAGAGGGGTGAGTCTTTGGGCTGCCTGCCAGTGACTAAAGTGTCCTCCAAAACTGAAAGCTCTGCAGTCCTGCTGGTAAAGAGCGAAGGGCAAAATTCGCTTTGACTCTCATGTTTGAAGTACAGTTTAGGCGCACAAAGCAGTGCATTTGGTACAGAATATATGAACAGACTCCTTGGGATGCTCGAGATCAGTAATTTCCATTCTGCGTACTCGACCTCCGGCTTGATGCTCTTGAATACATCTTCTGTACTATATTTGGGCTTCCAACCCAGCGCGCGACCCCTTCGTGCGAGACACCTCGCATTCGTCCCCAAGGACTCAAGCTATAGGTATGTCATTCAGCTCAGGCTCCATGATACTATGACTAATGGGAAACCTCAACTTATACCGAAATTCTCAGGACGATTGTAGTCTTCCTCGGTGAAAGGAGTTGGCTCCAGAGATTTTCCTCTTCCGATGTTGTAAAGCTCCTGCGCAACGACCTTGCTCAGGTCGTACAATTTATGCTCCCCATTTTCACCAAAGTAGAATCCTTCCCGGCCGTGACTTGCCTTTCCTGATAGTGCATTTTCACACACGACTATGTACAAGTCGGCAACTAAGGTAGTTGGCACTCAAAACTGCGATACAAAATAGAAGTCATGCAGGGTACTCACTGTCATCAATGTGGACATTGGGCCAGACATTTTCGCCCTTGCCTACCATTCCCCCTTGGCCTTTGAGAAGCCCAGCCCGGATAAGCCGTGGGATTTGCTGAGAGCGAGGATTCTGCAACCCCAGATCGACAAATTTTGTTTTCGCGAGTGCGTATATCGTTGAAGGGAGAATGATATAGGCCTTAACATAGTCTGTTCAAGGGTTATCCTATTGGTTTTGGTGCAACGCGACGACGATCTCACTCTCTTATCGGCGTCGACGATGGCGACGTCAACCTTCCTGTGCGGCTGGGTGATAGCAAGAGTCTCAATCTGGTCTGGGTTCAAGTCATCGTAGACAACGTCGGTGGGATGCAAGCCCTTAGCATCGTCTACCAGCACAGCTTTCCGCTTTCATTCAATATCCCTCTGAATGCCAAAACTTAGACACCTACCAGTTCCAGACTGCCGCAAGTTGCAACGGGCAGAATGAGAGCTGGGAAAGCGGGACATGCACATCCGTACTTACCGTGTGGATAAGAAGAGGTTGCTGACCCGTCGCGTCGTACCTCTTCGTCAAACCTCTCAAGATTGCCTGTGCCGCGGCCAAATTATCTACGTCAGCCTGTACATCCCGTCAGCACGGTATGTCAATACCCATGATCAATTCCGAAATTACACCCACAATGGAGAATACAATGTCAGCTTTTGACGCCTGTTCCTCGAGAATATCGAGGTCGTTGTAAGACCCAAGGACGGTGTTGAGCCCAAGAGAGTGAAAAGTGGAGATTTTGTCCTTCTTCGAAGGACGAATCAGCAGAGTGATCTCGAAGTTGGCGAAAGTAGGGTGGTCAACGAGGCGTGTGAGCACCGTGCCGCCAATATAACCTGTTTCGGTTTACAGATTGGATTCGTGTCAGAGTAGAAGACCAACGTCGCACAAGGTTAATCAGAACAGACCTGTAGCACCCGTGAAGAAAATAGTGGATATGTTTGTTGAAGTCATGGTAGTTGTTTAAACCAATATGATTCTGGTGAACTGCAAGCAAAGCTCGGTAAGTCCTATGTCCAGGGTGTTGTTGGGATATATGTGGTGTTCGTATCGGTCCTGACTGAGCAAATTAAATCTGCGATATCATGTATATCATGGCATGCATATATGACCAAGGTCAAAGGCAGCTTGATCAGCTTTTGGCGGTCGAAGACAAATGTTGTGCTTAACAATCGATGGAAAGGTTATGCTGTCATGTCCATCTTCGGGATGTTCTACGTATCATGACTTGAAGGGTACCCCCACCGTGTATAATCGATGTACTCGTGCAACTCGAAAATTGCCAGTAATGATCCCGGTCATCCCCCACCGATCCGTGGTCCGATATCGATAGCGTATTTCAAACAATCACGATCGACGTCGACTGCAGGAAGTACGTAGATGCCGGCTCTGAAGCAATGGGCAAAAACATCCAGACAACATGGGATTCACTGATAGTTTGTATCGTGAAAAGGCATCCCTCGACGAGGTCTCACGAACAGGTGCGTCGAAACTTAAAGTAGTAATTGTCGCAAATTTCTTGGGCACGTGATAAGAACCTTATAATACATGTTAAGGGTGGCTGTTCACACTTCCGTTATAAGCCATGCCAATGCCACCCATGTGTCATTGAAAGATTGCCAAAAATGGGTATTTGTACATAATATTTTACACATTCGCACTATATCTTAGATAAAATATCACATATTTGCTATAATCTAGCCAAACCTGACCATTATAATGGCAAGTGGTCCATTACACGCTGCTTACAATGGGGGCACGTGACAATGGACCAAATAAATTTGCGACAATGGGGGCACGTGACAATAGACCAAGTAAATTTGCGACAGTATATTCCGGTGCTGCGATGGAACACGTCAAACGTCAAGCAACGGACAGGGCTGATGTGGAGGCGTGATCTTGTTCGTTGTTATCTGACGTAGTGGTTAGCATGTTACAATGTTTCAGGTTGCGGAGTCAAGAATGCGGTGTGTAAACAGCCTTCTCTAGTTCTACGCGCCGCAATGTTCGATGACACTGGAGTGGAGGGCAACCAGTACGCTCAACCACAGCGCTCTCCGGGGATCCAATATTCCACGGTGGAGTATCAAACAAACCGCCTGACCTGGTTCAACCGCACAAGGTTGGTGGGGATTCATCTGTTGGTCTCTGGTTACATTTGGGGTATGTACAGTAGAGCAATGCCATCAGAGCAAGGTTCCAGTGAACCATAACACACAGGAAAGACGAAGACAAGTAAGACAATATAGCCGTAGATAGTAGTACATTTGGTACAGAAAGCTTTCGTTAAAATTATATGAACAGACTCCCCGGAATACTCCATATCAGTAATTTCCACTCTGGATCGCGTACTCGACCTCAGGCTTGATGCTCTTGAATGCATCCTCTGTAGTATATTTGGGCTTCCAACCCAGCGCGCGAGCCCTTCGTGCGAGGCATCTGGCGTTCGTCCCAAGGAACTCAAGCTATACATATTTCATTCAGCTCAGGCTCCGTGATACTATAACCAACGAGAAACTACTCACACCAAAATTCTCAGGACGCTTGTAGTCTTCCTCGGTGAAAGGAGCTGGCTCTGGAGACTTTCCCCTTCCGACGTTGTAAAGTTCCTGCGCAACGACCTTGCTCAGGTCGTACAGTTTATGCTCCCCATTTTCACCGAAGTAGAATCCTTCCCGGCCGTGACCTGCCTTTCCTGATAGTGCATTTTCATACACGATTATGTACAAGTCGGCAACTAGAATAGTCGACACTCAAGGACTGCGATGCAAAGTAGAAGCAATACAGGGTGCTCACTGTCATCGATGTGGACATTGGGCCAGACATTTTCGCCCTTGCCTACCATTCCCCCTTGGCCTTTAAGAAGCCCCGCACGAATAAGCTGCGGGATTTGCAGAGAACGGGGATTCTGCAGCCCAAGACCGACGAATCTTGTTTTCGCCAGTGCGTAGATCGTCGGAGGGAGAATGATATAGGCCTTGACATAGTCTGTTCAAGAATTATCCTATCAGCTCTACTGCAATGTGACGCTGATACGTACTCTCTTTATCTGCGTCGACAATGGCGACGTCAACATTCCTGTGCAAGCTGGGTGATAGCGAGAGCATCGATCTGGTCTGGATTCAAGTCATCATAGATAACGTCGGTGGGGTACAGGCCCTTAGCATCGTCCACCAGCACACCTTTCCACTATTGCTCAATATCACTGTGAGTGCCAGAGCTTAGACACTTACCAGTTCCAGACTGCCGTAATAAAGGAAATGAGAACCGAGAAAGCGGTACAAAGGCATCCGTGCTTACAGTGTGTATAAGCAGAGGTTGCTGACCCGTCGCCTCGCTACCGCCGCTTTAAACCCCTCAAGATCGCCTGGGCCACGGCTAAATTATCTGCGTCCGCCTATACATCCCACCAGCACGGTATGTCAATGTCCATGATTAATTCCGAAATTGCACTCACAACGGAGAACACAATGTCAGCTTTCGATGCCTGTTCCTCAAGAATATCGAGGTCGTTATAGGAACCAAGGACGGTGTTGAGCCCTAGGGAGTGAAGAGCGGAGATTTTGTCCTTCTTCGAAGGACGAATCAACAGGGTGATCTCGGAGTTGGCAAAAGTAGGGTGGTCAATGAGGCGCGTGAGCACTGTGCCGCCAACATAACCTGTTTCGATTCATGGATTGGATTCGTATTACACAGGGGTCAATGAGAACAGACCTGTAGCACCCGTGAAAAAGATAGTGCGTTTGCTCGTTGAAGCCATAGTAGTTATTTAGACCGATATGATTCTGTTGAACTGCGGGGAAAACTTGGTAGGTACTTTGTCCTATGAACTTGTTAGAATGCTTCCATCGTCGACCGCGTTTATATGTGTTACTCGCATCACTGCTGACTGAGCAGCTAATTTCGCGATAAGGTGTGTATCATGGCGTATCTGACCAGGGTCCAAGGGAACTTCATCAATCTCCCGGCACGGTTGAGGACGAAGTGTTGTGCTTAGCAATTAACGCATGCAGGTTGATTCAAAGCTATTAGTCACGGTCTCACAAGGCGAACGTGGGTATCTTACTATGGCCCGAAGGGCACCCCCGGTGTATAATCAACGCTGGTTTCCAGTTAGACGATTAATGCTTGTAAAGCCCGAAAATCGCGCGTCTCCACTCTCCAGCGCCAAGTGGTGATAATCAAGTGCAACTCAAGGATGCGATCCCTCCTTGGTCCGTGGCTGTGGTATTTGCTGATATCGATAATCACGATCGATGAGAACTGCAGCAAGTCAAAACGAGTGCTGAAGCAACACGCAGAAATGTCCAGACAACATGAGATTCACTATCTGTACATGAGTTCACAACTTCATCCAGCCTACGCGACGTTTTCCGTACTGTATCAATCTACAATAGAAGCTTATACAGTTCCACAGTTAGAAATGGCGATAGACGCTTTCGGGGTGCCGCTTGGAGATCCATAGCCTTCGATCTCTCTAACGACATCCATACCCTCGACGACCTCACCTATAGCACCACGTTAATCACCGATACCGACTACCAAATGATAGACGCACCGAAGACGACGTGGGCACCGTCAAGCCAAGAGGTGACGACGGTAGTAATGAAGAACTGAGAGCCGTTGGTGTTCTTGCCAGCATTTGCCATAGACAAGATGCCTGGCTTAGTGTGCTTCATCTTGAAATTCTCATCTGCCCAGGGTCTGTCATTGAGATACTGCGCTGCGAATCAAAGTGGTGACCTACCGGCGAACTTCTCGCCATAGATCGATTTGCCACCGGTACCGTTGCCTTTCGTGAAATCACCACCCTGAAGCATGAACTTGGGGATAACGCGGTGGAATTTGGATCCCTTGTAACCAAAGCCTTTCTCTCTCATGGCTAGCTCGCGGAAGTTCTTGGCCGTTATAGGGACGACGTCATCATAGAGTTTGAAGACGATGCGACCGGCAGGCTTGTCGTTGATTGTGATGTCGAACTGGATGAAGGTTTAACTACTCAGATCGAGAGCGTCGTACGTGGGGGGTACTTACGAAAACGTTGGCCATGATGTAGTTGAGTGGAAGGAGATAAATTGAATGGGGGCCCAAGCTTTTAGAGGCTGATAAAGTGGCGGAGCTGATGTGATCGGGGCTGATTATCTTGGCTGTGGCGGAGATCACCGATAAAGATAACATCCATGTGCTGCCCACTCCACCCTGGTGCCTAAGTATTACTTGTCGACGTGACAACTATTAGTGTCCGTGAAATCTAGTGGAATGTTCTAATTACCGCCTTTTCATCTTGCAGGGCTTTTGTCGATTAGCGACGATGACCCCTACCAGTCGCCCACGATGGCGATGTGGCCCAAAGATCAGTCTTCCATCATTGGCAAGTGAGACCTATTGGGGAACTTTGTACCGGTGCTTTATGTAGTTTACGCTGATCTGGATGACAGCTGACGCCCATCCAGGCCCCCTCTTCTCTCTCTCTCTCGTTCATTCGATTCCAAGCGCTTCTAGCCTTTCTCCCTCCCATCCTAGCCTTAGACTACGGTCTTAAGCTAGACACGATCATCTGAGGATGGCACTTCGAACCAAGAGGAGTGTATGGAGGCTCTTATTCCGATCAGCGTTTTCCCTCGGTTTCCTCTGGCTCGCCGCGATTACCCTTCATAGCCTTTCCTTCGGCTCACCGCCCACCCATGTCCGAGTATTTTCTGTCGTGGATATGTCTGTTCTCCAGCAACCACAACAACATCAATACCGTAATGGATACCATCCATGGAATTCTGCACCCGAAGAGCACACCTATACGCCGGACGGATTGCTCATCGTCAACCCTAACGGTCCCCATCCTATATTTGAACTGATTCGCAATGCAGAGAAAGAGTGGAACGCAAAGTTGCAGCGCGCAAGCAAGACACTCGAAGAGGCTGTAGTGGAGTACGAACGCCGGTATAAGCGCCCTCCCCCGCTCGGATTCGACAAATGGTAAGTCTCCTCATGATGGCTGTTACGTTTACGTGATTCATCTGGTTAGGTGGGATTACGTTGTCAAGCACGACGTGTTACTTCCAGACGAGTACGACGAAATATACTACGATCTCGAACCTTACTGGGGGCTTCACCCGGAAGATCTCGCGGCCTCAGAGCGGGAGCTCGAAGAGCGCGACGATATCATCGTCGTTGCGAAGACGCCGGAGAGTGATAAACTTGAAATCGTTCGTACTACTGTCAAGGGAAACCCTACCGCTTTCCTTGTTCGAATTTCAGATATACTGAATCTCCTCGAGGAAGTCGAACATGACCTCCCCCCGTTGAGGATGTCGTTCTCCCCGCACGACAATCCAAACATGTTATCTGATTGGAGGATAAAATCCATGGTCATGAACGCTGCCAAAAGAGGAACGAGTATGCATTGCGCACTTTTTTATTCCCAAGAAAACACTGACCCCCCTGTTTCAGCCGTCAGGCAAAAGGATTTCCCTCCCATTCATACAGTTGGTTGGGCGCAAGGCTGCCAGCCTTCCACTCCTGCACGACTGAAGAGGCCTCCCTTACCCGCACTTCCTCCGCACGCATATGAACCGCAATTCAATACGAGCGCACCAAAAACTTTTATTGCATCCCACCGTGCGACGATGGATCCGTGTGCGCACCCCTCGTTACTGGTGACCCACGGCCAGTTCCTCTCGCATTACGCAGGACCTTACCCCCAGAAAACGCTCGTGCCTAGATTCTCTCTTTGCGCAACGCAACTGCACCACGACATCCGTCCGCCTGTGCCGTATGGCTGGGTTTCAGGATTGGATCTTGAGGAGCACGGTGACGTGCCGTGGGAAGAGAAGATCGACGAACGTCTTGATTGGAGGGGCAGCAATACGGGGTTGTACGCGTCGTCTAACACGCCGTGGTCGTATGCACAGCGAGCGAGGTTGGTCTCGCTTGCGAATTCGGTGATTGGGAATGTGAGTATACTCCCTGTTCCGGAGGATGAGAATACGAAAGTGGGCGAGCCAGAGGAAGTGAGGTTGGCGCGAGTTAATCCTGCCTGGATGGACGTTGCGTTTGTAGGCGGGGCAATTATGTGCGATGAGAAGGGAGGGACGTGTAAGGAGATGGAGAAGATGTGGGAGTTCAGGAGATCGCAGGGGAGAAAGGAGGAAGGGAGGTATAAGTTCATCTTTGATGTGAGTTCGCTACTGGTTGCGTACTTCGACTGGATATCGCTGACGTCGATGTCCTGAACAGGTCGATGGAAATGGATGGTCAGGTCGATTCAAGCGACTGATGACCACCAATTCGCTGATATTCAAGGCGACCATCTATCCGGAATGGTATGGTTTTCACTTTCTTCTCTACAGCCGCTCATCACTGTCGGGCAGGTATACGTCTCGCATAGCACCGTGGGTGCATTATGTCCCCATTCAGGTTTCTTATACAGACCTATACGACGCCGTTGCGTTCTTCCGCACCCATGACGACCTTGCTAAACGCATAGCCTCGGAGGGCAGAGCTTGGAGTATGCGATTCTGGAGGAAAGAAGATATGAGCGCTTACCTCTACAGGTGTGTCAGTCGCTTCGAGATTCAGAATCGCACTAAATGGTTGGTAATAGGTTATTCCTCGAGTACGCCCGAGTGTCGAGTATGGATCGGGACGCGATGTCTTACAAGGGCTCCTCTAATGTGGGGGAGGAAGATCTTTAATTGTTTGGCTTTCCTTTCGTTTATGGGTACAATTTTTTTCCGCTGTGTAGGTATTAGTGCTATGAGGAGTCGGCATATAAGTGAAGTTCCAGATGACTACTGTTTCGAATCACGATGAACATACGGCAATTAGCATTTGAAAGACGGGGCTATCCGATCGTGTCTCAAACTGGTATTACCGGTGTGCCGAGCCAGCCCACTCGCAGTCGTGGGTCACGTGCTTCCCGACACTACTAGACCCTTAGCTGGATCATAGCTGTGCCGTCACTGCCTGTTAATAAAGAAAAAAAACAGACGGACCTTGGATTCTTTCTTCACAGCTGACCTTCGTCATCGTCGCAGAGAGCTGAGAAGTCTGCGAGTTGTCGAGTTGTCTTACACTGACAGCGGAACCTTTTGCACGACTCGCAAGCGAAAACCTCGATTTGGCCTTCTTGGTTATTACTAGCCTAGAATCGTCCAGGCTTGCCACCTTCATTGCGTGACCAGGACCCACCCAGTCCGCTACTCTCCACCGCATCAGGTGCCAGTCGTACATACTTCTCGTCATGATCCCTTGCTAAAGCCGCCTCGGTCAGGTTATCCCGCATCTGGTTAGAGTTGTAGCCTCAATATCTCCGATTTGACTGAATCCTTTCGCCGTCAAATCCTAATATCTCTACTTCCAACTGCGTGCGACGCAATCCGTGAAGGGCCCTCCAGTCGCGTGAGTTTTCTCTAGCAGACTGAGAGTCGTACGCCCAATCCAATTCCTGTTCTTCCAGACTCGTCTTTCCTGAAAACATCCTCTTTCCCAAGCTTGAGCATTCGTGCTAGCCCCACCTTTTGACGCGTGGTGTCTTCTAGAAGTTAAACGCCCTCCACCCCACATTGAGACGTACGTCATCGAGACACACTTTTGCTCTTCAACAGTACCGCTCACACCCCCACTCCGCTTGTCTCATCTTCCCTGTCCGTCGTCCACCTATCCCACCGACGCCTCAGGTCTCCACGGATGAGCGATACTGCACAGCCTGTTTCCGCGTCTACTACTGATCCTGATCCTACCACTTCGGATTATCAACCACCGTCACCATCATCACCGGCTACCCAAGTTTATCCACCATTACCCGATTCTGTCGTACGACCTCTGACCTCTCAAGGCAGTCGTACCCCCCTCCGTCCTTTTTCTGCTACATACTCTGCAACCCCTCGCGTACGTTCCACAGAACGACCTTACACAGCCCACGGCACTTCCAACGCCCTTCCCGCCTTCAGTTTGGGACCTTATATGTCCGCTAGCGCACACACATCCTACACGCGTGTTGATCTGGATTTACCATCTTCTGAAATGTACCCTCCGTTACCCGAACCAAGTACATCGCCTCTCAACTCGCCAGAGCTTCAGCTCCGGTACCCCATTCAAACGCTGCCAACGTAGGCTTGTTTGTCACGCCTAATGAGGCAGTAGAGTCGCCGGTTCCACAGACACCGCAAGTGACACTCACGTTCTTGCTCGTATCTGGCCGCCGAAAGTCTCAGTCGTTCGATCCAGCGACAACGGTTGGCAGAGTGAAAGAGCTGGTATGGAACACGTGGCCTACACGTGATGCAGGCAAGTCTATCAGTTCTGGCTGGATGCCTGAATAAAACAAAACGCACGGCAATGTGCGATGTTGACATGTGATTTTTTTTTTGGATGGTTTCAGCCTGGCCAGAAGAGCGTCCCCCTGCCCCTTCATATTTCCGTATTCTGTACCTGGGAAAGATACTACAGGATGAAGAAACATTGATGAGTGAGTAAACTTCCCCTATGTTCCTTTCCTTGGCCCCTCGTATTGCTGCGGGCTTGGTTGACACGTTGATGGGATCACATGATGGTGCTCCAAATCGGTGCTATTGAAAGCGCCGCCATCTTTCCTAAAATAAGATCGTGACATCTGACCTCACTTTAGGTGTTGGATTCCCCACATCTCTATCGTCTTCCTCGCCTCATGCCCTGCCCACGATAGTCCACCTTTCAATTCGCCCCTACGCCATTCCCTCAGAAGATCTTGCCCTGAGCAAAAAGGCACGCCTCGCATCGGCATTCTCACGAAGGGGCAGCTCAGGTCACACGGACCTTGGGCGCCGACGATGCAGATAGGACGGGGTGTTGTGGTGGATGTCTGATCTGTTGATCGTGACGAATAGCTTGCCGCAGGGTGTACTAGCTGGCCTCGATCCCCATCATCCCCAACTTCGTTTATTTTATGTAAACCCACACTGTAACCTAACTTGGCCTCATAGTCCCCGATCAGTTGTGCATCTAACGGTGTTTGGATCTCTCTTTTTTTTTTCCCACTTCTTTTCCGCATCGTCTCGTCCAGGTTAATGTAACATACGTATACTCCCCTTATTTCTTTTATCCCATACGTTCCCATCGACAGATGGACGCCACGTATGTTACATAGTACTTTACATTATTCTTTTATGCTCGCAACACTGGTTTGATTACCGGCATACTTCAGGCTTATGCACCCCTGACAGGCGTCAGAGGGCACTCGCTACAGTCGTCCTCTGACAGTTCCACGACCCTCTCCTGATATCTCACCAACCGGCTTTCCCTCCTGACTCAACGTCTGATTCTTTGCAGTGGCCCATTCGGCGACCTTCTCCACGAACCTGTCTACCTCCGCCTGCGTATTTCCAGCATGTACGATCACGCGCACCCTCGACACTTTAACAACCGGGTAAGTGACTGCACTAGCATTGTATCCGCAGTCGATCAGGTAGTGCGACAGCTCGACGGCGTGCGGGCTGACTAGGGGAATCACGGGAGAGTACAATTCGAGTTCCGCACTTCGCTGGGCGGCGGCGCGGTCTGAGTCAACAAGAGCGAGCGTAATAATTTGCGCAGGGAAAGGCCGCAAAGCACCTCCAAGGTGGGTACGTGCATATTGGACGATGTGGCTAAGTTTGTTTCGGAGCTGAGGGGTGTGTGAGGAGATGAGTAACGAACAACAGAGAAGATCTCTACTTTAGACATACCTCCTGTCCTTTTGGTCCGGAGATGATGTCGAGACAGGAGTTGATTACATGGACATCCATGTGGGCCATGGCAGTGGTATATCCAAATGCTTTGGCATAATTGACCAGGTACTTGTGCACTGTGGGTAAGGTCAGAAGAACGGCTATCCAAGTTCAAATATTGAGGTGCAATATTCAGCTTATCGGTGGGGGTTGGATAGAAAGATTTTTATAGACTGACCTCCTCGATGTCCCCATGCTTTTCCAAGGGTGTGCATCATCGTGTGGATGCATCCCTTGAGACCAAGAAGAGCGACATATCCACGTCCATCAGGTCCAAATACTCCTGAAGTATGGGCCTCGTCGACGAAGATATGAGCATGGCCTTTCGGCACTAACTCCTCCACAGTGCGCACGATATCCTCCAAAGGCGAGAAATCTCCATCCATGCTGTACAGACTCTCAACGGCGACGAACACTGTCCCTGACCCTTGTACAATCTGTTTGTTGTGCTTCTTCAAAACATCCTCCAGGCACTGCTTAAACGCCGTCACGGAATTATGCCTAAATTTGTACTGTTTATCTTTCGGGATATGCGAAAGACGCACACCCTCGCGGATCGAGCTGTGTACGAGTTGGTCAAAGATGAGTACGTCGCCTGGTTGTGGTACTGTAGACCAGAAGACCTCATTGGCGACGCAGCCGGAGGTGCAGAGCAGTGCGTCAGGGGATTGGAAGAAGTGGGCGAGACGCTCTTCGAGAGCACGGTAGCCTTCGCTATTGCCGGTGGCAAGGACGGCAGCCCGTCGAACCGAAGAGGCGGGGTGCAGAAAGAACCTTGGACAGGAAAAGTTCACGGAGTAAGGGGCTTGTTGACAATGAAAGGTAGTCATTAGAGAAGAAGTCCGAGGCAGGGGATACGAAGGGTCCGTCGATGGCAAGGAGGGGGAAGCCAGACTGTTTACGGCGTGTCAATATACCATCGAGGGATTTCGTCAAGGCTGTTTCCTGAGCAGACATCCGTGAACAAGGAAGCAGAAGACAAGATTGGAGTGCCGGAGTGCTTGTGTACGAGGTGGCCTCTTTAAAGCAAACTTGGCTCGCCATAGCAGATTTGGCGCATTTCACAGCACTGGATTTTCCGGGCTGATGAAGTGGGTACTGTTAGATGCAATGTAATCCGTAGAAAAAAGAGGCATGTGTGTACTAACAACCCCATGAGTGGTTGACCGGACCGTGATGGGCGGGCAGGGGATGACCTTTGGGAGAGTGATGGTGAATCAGTGATGTCCTCGCAAACACAAGTCCCATCAGGGATCAACCCTACATCACACCAACAATCATTTCATTGACCTGCACCCGGAGGAAGATCATCTTTCACTTAGAAAAACGAATGGGATGGGTGTGGACGTCAATGCGCGGAGCAGATTTCGCGCAAATCGCAATACTCGCTTGCTCCATCACGGTCCGGAGGTTGGCCTACGTGGAAACATGTTATGGGCGTAAAACACCACATTAGGATGTCACCGTAGTTGTAACGCGGTTGACCATCCTCAGGGTTTTCTAAATCCGTCTATTAGTCTCCCGGCGAACGTAGGACAGTCGTATATCGAGCGTACACGTGAGATGGTCACGGTACACAGGTAGCTTCTTGTAGACCGTTGGGACCGGGAACAGTAACGGAGGGATGGCGAACTATGCGGCTATATCCACGCACATCTCGACGCACGTTGCACTCGACATTCGCATGTGCTGACGGCGAATATTCAAGTATCATCGTCTGAGCTATTCTTGGCATGATTGCTATAAGACTGGATCTTCCTGAGAATGTGAGTATGAGAGACCCACTGGAAGTCTTGTGGATTGAGCTTCTCACGGCTCAACCAGAGCAAGGGGGCTGGAAGGGTTTGCATGATATAGATATTCGTGATGCTTTCGAATTCCGTATTGATTCATAGACTTGCCAACGGAGACCATTTGACGAATTTGGACGACAAGCAACGCTGAGAAGAAGGAGCTCCACACAGCCTCACCTGCATTCCTCAAGGCACGCCTCGCCTTGCATCAGCATTCATGCGAAGGAACAGTTCGGGACACACTGATTTGAACGTCGACGATGCAAATAGAAGAACGGGATAGTTGTGGATGCAGGATGTCTGATCTGATGTTCGTGACGAATACATAAGTAGTTTGCCGTGAGGTTTGCTATCGCTTAACCGGAGTTGCAAGAACGACGGGAGGTGCAAAATCATGATTCTACCACAACGCAGTCGAGTTCTTGCCCATCTAACAATCAAACGAGGGTTCCAATGTGTCGTACGAGGAGTCCCCTAAAAAGCTGCGCTGTGGGGAGCGAGGTTCGCTCAATAACCCCCTAATAAAAATAGACGTCGGAGTGGGAGGACTGGCAGGGAGCAGAGCCGCTGAGTGCTGAGTGCTGAGTCAGAGTCGGGTTGCCTGGTGTTGCAAGAATGTACAATAGTGGATACATCATCATAGCTCGCCTCGAGTTCAGTTCATCGCTCGTGAGGCTCTCTTGCACTGTTCCAAAGTATACAGCGATGGTACGGACCCAACAAGCCGACAGGTCCTTACAAGTCTCAAGTCGAGTGTGTGACGTTGGTAGATGGCAATCACGCTGTCGCACAATTCAGGCGCCGCTTCGACATCACAAGGCAAAATCACGTCGGAGTAACTTTCGGAGTGCACATTCGGCAGACGTGCCGTTTACGACAATCCCAGACAAAGCTTTGCAACCCCAGTGTTAATGTATCCCCCTTTTTCTTTCCGTCGTACGTTCGCATTGACAGGTGGACGCAACATACGTTACATAATGCCTTACATCAAGTATGCTTATGCTCGCAACACTGGTTTGATTACCGGCATACTTCAGGCTCATGCACCCCTGACAGGCGTCAGAGGGCACTCGCTACAGTCGTCCTCTGACAGTTCCACGACCCTCTCCCGATACCTCACCAACCGGCTTTCCCTCCTGATTCAATGTCTGATTCTTTGCAGTGGCCCATTCGGCGACCTTCTCCACGAACCTGTCAACCTCCGCCTGCGTATTTCCAGCATGTACGATCACGCGCACCCTCGACACTTTAACAACCGGGTAGGTGACTGCACTAGCATTGTATCCGCAGTCGATCAGGTAGTGCGACAGCTCGACGGCGTGAGGGCTGAGTAGGGGAATCACAGGAGAGTACAACTTGAGTTCTGCACTTCGCCGGGCGGCGGCGCGGTCCAAGTCAGCAGGGGTGAGGGTAATGATTTGCGCAGGGAAAGGCTGCAAAGCATTTCCGAGGTGGGTCTGTGCATATTGGATGATGTGGCTGAGTTTGTTTCGGAGCTGAGAGGTGCGCGAGGAAATGAGTAACGAACAAAAGAGAAAATCTCTGCTTTAGACATACCTCCTGTCCTTTTGGTCCGGAGATGATGTCGAGACAGGAGTTGATCACATGGACATCCAGTGGCCATGGCAGTGGTGTATCCAAATGCTTTGGCATAGTTGACCAGGTACTTGTGCACCGTGGGTGAGGTCAGAAGAACGGCTGTCCAAGTTCAAAGATTTGAGGTGCAATATTCAGCTTATCAGGGAGTGTTGAAAGGAAAAAAATTTAAATCTACGGACGGACTGACCTCCTCGATGGCCCCACGCTTTCCCAAGTGTATGCATCATCGTGCGGATGCGCTCCTTGAGACCAAGAAGGGCGACATATCCACGTCCATAGGGTCCAAATATTCCTGAACTATGGGCCTCGTCGACACAGATATGGGCATGGCATTTCAACACTAACTCCTCCACAGTACGCACGATATCCTCCAAAGGCGAGAAATCTCCGTCCATGCTGTAAACACTCTCAATAGCGACGAACACCGTCCCCGACCCTCGCACAATCTGTGCATGGTACTTCTTCAAAGCATCCTCCAAGCACTGCTCAAACGCCGTCACGGAATTATGTCTAAATTTGTGTTGTTTATCTTTCGGGATATGCGAAAGACGCACACCCTCGCGGATCGAGCTGTGTACGAGTTGGTCAAAGATGAGTACGTCGCCTGGTTGTGGTACTGTAGACCAGAAGACCTCATTGGCGACGCAGCCGGAGGTGCAGAGCAGTGCGTCAGGGGATTGGAAGAAGTGGGCGAGACGCTCTTCGAGAGCACGGTAGCCTTCGCTGTTGCCAGTGGCGAGGCGGGTGCCTGTCGAACCGAAGAGGCGGGGGGCAGAAAGGGCCTTGGACAGGAAACGTTCACGGAGCAAGGGGCTTGTTGACAATGAAAGGTAGTCATTAGAGAAGAAGTCCGGGGTAGGGGATACGAAGGGCCCGTCGATAGCAAGGAGGGGAAGGCCAGACTGTTTACGGCGGGTCAAGATATTATCGAGAGATTTTGTCAAGGCTGTTTCCTGAGCAGACATCGATGAACCAGAATACAGAATACAAAATTGGAGTGCTTGTGTGCGAAATGGCCCTTTATGTAGTCCGGAAGTGAACTTGGCTCGCCGCAGCAGATCTGGCGATTTCACAGCACCGAATTTTCCGGACTGATGAAGTGGGCGTAAAGTATTGCATTAAGATGTCACCGTAGTTGTAAGGGGGTTGACCATGTCTGGAGTTTTCTAAATTTGTCTGTTAGTTTACCAGGTTAGTATGTAGAACGGGTCATATGTCGAGCGTACACGTGCGGCAGTAACAGTATATACGTGGTAGCTCTTGGTAGCCTCTTGCAGACACTCATCCGTGTGGAGTCTTTGTTGGGTCCGGAAGTAGTAACGGAGAGATGGCAAAATATGCGGCCACATCTACGCACATCTCGGCTCACGGTGCACTCGACACGCGTATATGTTGACTCGGCGAACATTCAAGTATCATATCGCCTGAACTATTCTTGATATGATTGCTATAAGATGGGATCTTCCTAAGACTGTGAGTGAGCATGAGAAGAGAAAGGAACTGCGCGCGGCCTCACACGCCTCGCATCAGCATTCACGCGAAGGGGCAGCTCACTGACGATTTTGGTGTCGACGATGCAAATAGAACGGGATAGTTGCGGATGTCTGATCTGTTGATCGTGACGAATATATAAGTAGTTTGCCGCAGGCCGGTGTACTATCAACTTACCGGAGTTGCAAAAACAACAGGAGGTGCAAAATCACGATTCTACCACAACGCAGTCGATTTCTTGCCTATATCTTGGTTAAAAAAAGGAGCGAGATTTGCTCAAGATACGTCAATTTAAGCAAATAACCCCCTCAATAAAAATAGGCGTATATAGGGACCCAACAAGCCGACATCATGTCGGAGTGACTTTCGGAATGCAGACGGCAGAGATGCCGTCTGTGACAGTCTGTGACAAAACTTTGCAACTCCGACTCCAATTGTGGCTATCAATGTGACAACATAAACTCCCCTTATTGTTTCCCCTTCGTACGTTCGCATCGACAGATGGGTGCAACATATGTTACATAGTACTTTACATTATTTTATGTTCGCTACACTGGGTGCAACGGTTTGATTACTGGTATACTTCAGGTTTACCCCTGCCAGACGTCAGACGACACTCCTCGCTACAGCCGCCCTCTGACGACTCCACGACTTTCCCCTAGTACCTGTTGGAAATATGAGTATATGTTCCGACGTCTAGATTGATCCAGACTTACACGTGTTGATACACGATGTATACCACATGACCTTCCTTAGCAATCAGCTCCACAATGATATCATAATGATATCATGTCATACGTCATATTCCATGACCTTCTGCACTATTCTTTACTATACATGGTAGTAGTTTCCTTTTACGCTCTTGGTCCGTGCGTATCTACTCATGTATATAAACTCAGGGATTTCTTCCTCAATCCCTATCGAATTCTATATTCGTTCTTCACTTGTCTATTTGACAACTGAGCCCCTCACAAGCTTACCTCAACTTTAAACGCTACTATCGTTCTGATATAAAGGCAAGTGTTCGTGCCTTGCTCTTCGTTACTTCCTGTTCCTCTGCGCAATAGGTTATGAGCCCTGCCTATAACTAGGTGGTAAGCTATTTGCGGTATTTGCATAGAGCGATCACTGCCGACAGGCATATCACTATGGATATCGTAGGCCTAGATGCGCTAGGATCGGTAGTAGTAGTCTTCACCGTTGCTATAGTCGCTGGCCTTAACCAGGCCGTTCTTTTACTTCATTATGGTGGACATGACCCGGTTTACTTGCGGGAGCTCGCAATACGCTCCATCGCTTTTTGGTTCTCATTTCTAGGTCTCTCCGCCTGGTGGCGAAGGCGACAACTCTTGCTTCAAGAGCAGATTGCTCGTAGGCTGCTGTTACAGCGCCTTGTTCTTCGTCCACCAACACCTCCTCCCCATTATCTACATTTCCATCTTCCCGACATTGACCACGACGCAGATCTTGATCCCGTTCCGCCGTACGATGAGGTTGAAGCGCGTGACCCGCCTTCTCCTCGACGTGCACCGACTCCTCTTCCTGAGGAAGTTGCGGCTGTCAACGAGCTAGTTAATCCTGCGATCGTTCTCGCTGTCGATGACAACGCTGAGTTCGATTTGCTTTAGTCTCGTTTGCTTTGTCGCAGAACGGTTACTGATTAATAAAAAGATGTCTCTCGTCGTTGCCAAGACAACCGAACTCCAGGTTGCTGAACATCGGGATGGAATGTATGATGTCAAATGGAGGAAGTATGCGGTAAAAGAGATTATAGAGTATATTGAGATGTTATATGTACGCAACTGTGCGTCCTGGAGAGAAGCGGTTCCGTCGAGCGTCGGGTTCTTCAAGAAACCCAATCCTGCGACCTTCCTCGTCCCTATTGACACCGTGGAAACAGCGTGGCAGTCTATGCCCCACTTTCCTGGTTTCGAATCGCCCTATTTTTATCCAGGGATCCACCTCGCCTATCATGGCTACCTTACCGACTTCTTCCCTAAACTTTCCCATACGTCGTCTCCGCACGCCATAGCTAACTTCAACGGTTGCGATCTTCCTTCAGCGTATTATGAAGATCCTGCCCTCTACTCTGTTCCCGCCTTTACGGTCACCCACGACACATTCGTCTATATCTACTACAACGTCCATCCCTACTACGACCCCGAGTTTAACGGCCTCGTCCCTCCTCTCTGCGTTTGGAACCAGCATCTTGAACGCTGTTTCCGAGGAGCTTGGGATAGTGGGGACGTCGACATCCGATGTGTCCCAAGGTGGTTCAGGGAACGGCGCCGCGGAGGAGACCGCTTTGATAGCAGTCTCTTTAGGTTTATACGACGGTATAGGGATGAAGCAGATGTGGGAAATTCCCTGCGATACGACTCTTCTAACCGGCATCTTCAGTGGGGTTACCAACCCGCTGACTCAGACTTCGCTTACTGGCCCGGCACAGAAGAGATTCTACGTGATTTCGAACGTATCATGGACGACTCTACTTTCGACTATCTCGCAGCTCCCCGACCTCGCGGAATACGCACCACGGCTCTTAGCCGAGCTCGCGAAGCTCGAGCCGTTCGTCAAAAGTTATCCTCTTCCAAACTCGCTGGACGCACCGTACGCATCAGGCGGCCGAAGCCATTCGGCAACTAATACTTGTGTACTATATGAATCCTACAATGTTTTTGAGGTTTTAGTAAAGGACAAACATTTTCGTCATTCCCATGCCTTGAATATTCCTTATTCTTGTGCCGATCCTTATTTAGGATTTCGATCGGATGGAATTCCGTTGCATGATTGCAATTGGAGTTTCATGTCGTATCATTATTTTCCTCCATTAGACTTTTTAAGTCTGGAGCGAAATAGTTCTCGCATCTCATCTTGGAGATTCGCTGAGAAAGGCACACTGGCACCAGAAACTAAAAGGCAAAAGAGAAGAAATCCTCGTCCTTACTACAAAAACACTTGTCGACGTACACAACGCCCATCTCAATCAAAACGAGCATCCACTCGTCGAACCAAACACTGGGATCATGAACTCAATCCTCCATCCATTTATCTTCATCCGACTCACTCGTATCTTTTCGAACACCTGCTTATGGACTTCTAGATGTCCGAAGGTCTTTCGAAACAGATCCCCAAACTCAATGGGTTGAACTGGGCCTCTTGGTCAGTTCTTATGAAAGCATATATGCAAACTCTTGGTATCATGGGAATAGTTGACGGCACAGTTGCTCAACCCGGAGCTGGCGCTGCACAAAATGTGCAAGATGCCTGGAATACTTCTGATACACGCGCCCAAGGCATTCTTACGCTTTATTGCGATCCGATGATCGCAATGTCAATCGATGGACATGTGACTTCTCATGCCAAATGGGAAGCTCTTAAAACTGCATACGGAGCACCTTCGGCCATGACTACTTTCATGGAATTCCAGCAGCTTATCCGCATTCAAATTAAACCGAAGGATGACATAATGCAGAAGATTGCCAAAATCACTATGCTCATATCGGCAATCAGCGCTCAGGGCATCGCCCTTAATGACAAAATGAAAGCGCTAATTTTAGTCCATTCGATGACACATGCTTGGGAACAAGCTCCGGTTAACATTTTATCCTCTATTGCCGCCGATCAACTTTCTCCTGATACCGTCATACCTCGTATGAAAGAAGTCTGGGCCCACAAATCGGGCAAAACTATGCTTCCACAACAGGAAAAGACTGGGTCATCATCGACCACAGTCAAACAAGAATCCAATTCTCTTCTGGCACGCATGAATAAGCCGCCACTCTGCCAAGTTTGCAGAGGCGCACATAATACTTCCGATCATCAATCAGGACAAGGATCAGGTTCCTTTCGTGGTTACCGTGGAGGTCGCGGAAGAGGTCGCGGAACTCGTGGATGTGGACGTGGAGGTTATACTCCCTACCAACAAGCACCGCAGCAGTCAGGCTCTGGTTCTCGTGGCCGAGGCCAGAACCGTCACAGAGGCAAGGGCAAAGCCCGAGCCAACAATTTAGAAGTCGAAGGTGCTGAACCTATCGACGCTGCCTACATAGAGGAACTCCCTGAGTCCTATTATGGGCAAAATTCCTACGAGCCGGAGTATACTGCTCAGGGCCAGGAATTTTATGAAAATGCTGCGACTGCTTTTGAAGCTGGTGATTTCGATATCACTGCTATCAATATTCCACCCCGCGAACCATCTCCCAAATATTCTCTCCCGGATCCTACTCCGGTTGAACGAGTTTATTCTTCTGACCTCAATATATATCTCGGGCAACATGTTATCACTGATGCCGAGATGTATGACCCTGATCTTTCTCGCCAAGATCTTAATATGGCGATGCAAACAGTTGGGGAGAACCCCAATTATCCTGTTGATGTAACAACCGGAAATCTTGCTCCTTGGTATCTGGAGGAAATTCAGAATTTCCAACCAGATCAAGTTGAGTCAGTACCGATTCGTGTCAACATACCTGGTTCTAATATCTGCCAATGTTCTATCTGTCGCCGAGTAGTCTCAGCTTGCAACCAGCTGGACTTATCCCTTCGGGAACCCCGAAAACGGGTCAACTCGGACTCTTATCCGAGGACGATTTCCCTTCCCCCTGCTGAGCAGGACGGGACATGTACGAGTGGTTCCATCGAATCCTCAGTACCAATGGGAAATTCCCTTGTGGCTTGCGACAACTTGGTGGAGACTAGGAATGTTGAGGACAATGGCAACTCGCCTCAGGCGACAAACAGGGTTACTAATTTCCCTTCCTCTGGAGTTCGAATTACTCGAGGAAGAAAATTAAAGAAAAATAAGCCTATGTCCTTAGCACTTTTTCATGAATCTGTGCCAGAAAGTCCTGTTGTTAAATCTTTCCATATAAAGCATAATCCAGACATCGAGTATGATCCCAACAAATCTGCCTCCGGGTACTTACCCTCGCAGTTCGATGGCCATGCTTTCAATTCTTATGACTGTTACCCCTTTGGTGTGACATCATATGCGAATCTTAAAAAGAACCTTCCAAAGGGTGAGTCGTTATGGATGTTGGATTCTGGAGCATCACATCATGTGACTCCGTTTAAAACTGATTTCTTGACCTACCGAGAGTTTCAAAATCCACCTCTCGCCTCTACTGCAGGCTCGAAGAAGGTCCAATTACTAGGTCAAGGAACAGTGGTTATTCGCCTTGAAAATGGCAGTAACCTTCCACTTCATAATGTTGTTTATAGTCCTTTGTTCTCAAAGCGACTGTGTTCTCGAAATGCGCTCCTTAACAACGGGTATAGGAGCACAGCAACTCTTATTGGCGAGACTATCAGAGCACCAGATGGCCGGATTGTCCTTGAAGCAAAAGTAGCTTCACCGACTTCACCTCTTCATTGGTTTGTGGGCGTACCGCTTCCACCTACCACTGCCTATGGGGTCCTTTGCCCTCTGGTTAGGGAATTTCAAGAGTCTCTTTGGCATAATCGCATGTGTCACCCTGCAACTGCAGTTCTCAGACATATTCGCCGATTAGGCCTGAAACAAGAAATACATATACAGGGGGAGGCTACCTCTTGTAAAGGTTGCGCACAGGGCAAGTTGTCCTCTGAAGCTTTTAAACCTTCTTGGAAACGCGCTACTAAACCACTTGAGTTGGTTCATGCCGACTTATTGGAGTTACCTGTCGAATCTTATTTTCGGTCCAAGTATATCTTAACCCTCTTGGATGATTATTCGTCCTACGGTTTTTGCCTCTATCTTCGTAACAAATCCGACACTTATACTGCTTTTGCCAATTGGTTGGTGTCTGTGCAACATGCTACTGGACGTCATCTAATTGCGCTCCGTTCGGATCAAGGGGGAGAGTTTATGGGTTCTACTTTCAGAGCGCTCCTTTCTTCGCGCGGAATTACCCATTACCTTTCTATTGCTGACCAGCCACAACAAAATGGTCGAGCAGAATGCTTTAATCAGACAATTTCCGAGAAAGCTGGGACCATTCGACATCATGCTTGCGTTCCTAAACGCTTCTGGAATTTCGCCTTTGATTGTGCACTTCATGTGTATAATCGCACTCCTCTCAAAAGGATTGTTTTCAAGACTCCGGTTGAATTATTCTTAGGAAAAATCCCGGATATCACATATTTCCGCACCTTTGGCTGTAAAGCCTATGTATGGGTTCCTAAAGAACAAAGGAAAGATAAACTGGAACCTCATGCAGTCGAAATGGTATTTTTGGGCTATGAACCAAATACCAAAGGATATAGGTTCCTTCATGGACAGAAGATAGTTCTTTCTCGTACTGCCAAATTTGTAGAAGACTCTTTTCCTTTTTGCTCTGGTCAAGACAAATCCGAAACCTTTGACCCCGATACCGAAGACGACCATGAATCATCGGATTCCAATTCTGAAAGCCTTCATTCACTTCCGGATCCTGATCAGATCCAACCGGCGCCTCATCACCGCCAACCACCTCGTCCAAATAATCCTCCACAACAAAACCCACAGCAGAGACCTCCGGACCAAAATGAAAATAGAGGTCAACAAAGAAGAGCATCTGCTGCTGTACCACCAGTCGACCCTCGTCATCTTCGACATCCATATGAACCACAACCTGTTCAAGGAGATTTGCATAATGTTCGCAGAGCTAATCCTCCTCAAGATGACAGAGAACCTCGTCCAAAGCGTCGTTTTATACCAGTATCTCGCCCTGGGAATCTCTATGGAGACAGACCCCCAGTTGACATTGAAAGAGATATTCAAAGGAATCGGGATCAAGCACAAGAGTGGATTCGTAATGCTGAGCGACATGCTCAACAATCCAGAGAAGATATTCGTAGATATGCAGAGGAAAGAAGACCTCCTTCTCCGAGACTTCCTCCAGCTATGATTCCTCCTGCAGTTCCTCGTCAGTGGACAGAACATCCACAAGGAACAACACCTCCTTCTCCTGGTTCACCACTCACTCCACTTCCTTCTACTCCGAGTTCTCCTAAAGGCATGCCGGACCAACATGCTCAAATGCCAGGTCCTTCTGAAATGCATACTTTCGAGTTTGCATTGGCTGCCAGGATCAAAGAATCTCCGGAACACTATAAAGATGTGCTGAAGTTATCTCCTGATTTACAAAAGAAATGGTTCGATGCTATGAAGGACGAATTAAAGTCTATTGAAGAAAGACAAGTATGGACTTTGGTGGATCCTCCTAAAAATCGGAAACCAGTCAAGTGTCGATGGGTTTTCGCTATTAAAAGCGATGGTCGTTACAAAGCTCGTCTTGTGGCTAAAGGCTTCACACAAGAATTCGGTACCGACTTTGAAGATACCTTCTCTCCAGTCACTCGTTTTGAAACTGTGCGAATTCTACTCGCATTCGCTGCCCAAAGGAATTGGGAAATGGAAGCACTGGATGTTAAAACTGCCTTTTTGTATGGCAACCTTGATGAAGAAATCTATATGGAGCAACCAGAAGGTTTCAAAGTTTCGGGTCAAGAACACAAGGTTTATCGGTTGCTTAGAGCCCTTTATGGCTTAAAGCAAGCTGCATTGGCATGGAATAGAGCCCTTCATCAATCTTTACTCTCAATGGGCTATATTCGATCTAAAGTGGATGCAGGGATTTATATTCATCAATCCAAAGCTGGGATCGTCATTTTCCTCGTCTATGTCGACGATGGACTCTTTCTAGGTTCGGACAAACATCTTCTTAAAGCCAAGAAAGAACAGTTTAAGAAGAAATGGGAATCACGAGATCTTGGTGAAGTCAAGGAATACCTTGGCATTCAAATTCACCGAAATCGATCCAAAAAGGAACTTTATCTTGACCAAATCCCGTATGTTAAAAAGGTTATCAAAAGGTTCAATATGGAGACTGCTCGAAATGTTCGCACTCCATTACCTTCGGGATACCAACCGGAAAAAGCACCATCAGACTATCAAGCCACATCTTCTCTTCGGTCACAGTACCAATCAATTATCGGGTCATTGCTTTATATGGCTCTTGGTACTCGTCCTGATATTGCCTATGCGGTTATTCGCATGTCTCAATATATGGCAAATCCTACTGAAGATCATTGCAATAAGGCCTTGCATATAGTTCGCTATATTGCATCTACTCCTAAACTGGCCTTATATTATTCGGGACTTGAATCTCGAATTTATGGCTTTGCAGATTCTGATTGGGCTTCAAACAAAGACACACGTCATTCTACCACCGGTTATGCTATGTTCCTCGGATCATCCCTTATTTCTTGGCGCTCTCGTAAACAGAAGACAATCGCACTCTCTTCCACAGAAGCCGAGTATATGGCTTTATGTGATGCTGCACGTCAAATCAAATGGCTCTCTATGCTATTTGATGAACTTCAACTCAAGACCGAAAAGACTATTCTTTATTGCGATAATATGGGAGCTCGCTTCATTGCTGAGAATCCTGTATCGGACGGTCGTTCTAAACATATCGACGTCCAATGGCACTTCGTTCGCGAATGTGTTCAAGATAATTTGTTCAGTGTTGAATATGTTCAAACTGACAAACAAAAAGCAGACGGTCTTACCAAATCTTTGACGTGGCAAAAATTTGAACAAAATCGCTCGTCAATGGGTCTTGTGACCTTACCATTTTAGAGCGAGGGGGAGTGTTGGAAATATGAGTATATGTTCCGACGTCTAGATTGATCCAGACTTACACGTGTTGATACACGATGTATACCACATGACCTTCCTTAGCAATCAGCTCCACAATGATATCATAATGATATCATGTCATACGTCATATTCCATGACCTTCTGCACTATTCTTTACTATACATGGTAGTAGTTTCCTTTTACGCTCTTGGTCCGTGCGTATCTACTCATGTATATAAACTCAGGGATTTCTTCCTCAATCCCTATCGAATTCTATATTCGTTCTTCACTTGTCTATTCGACAACTGAGCCCCTCACAAGCTTACCTCAACTTTAAACGCTACTATCGTTCTGATATAAAGGCAAGTGTTCGTGCCTTGCTCTTCGTTACTTCCCGTTCCTCTGCGCAATAGTACCTCGCCACCGCGATTCCCCTCTTGGCTCGATGTCTGATCCTTTTCAGTGGCCCATTCGACGACTTTCTCCACGAACCTGTCTACTTCTGCCTGCGTATTTCCGGCATGCATGATCACACGCACCCTCGACACTTTAACGGCTGGGTAAGTGACCGCACCAGCATTGTATCCGCAGTCGATCAGGTATTCGGCAAGCTCGACAGCGTGCGGGGTGAGTAGTGGAATCGCAGGAGAGTATAATTTGAGTTCGGCACTTCGCTTGGCGGCGGCACGGTCCAAGTCAATATCGGACGCACGCGTGGAAGGGAGGGTGAGCGCAACGATTTGCGCAGGAAAAGGTCGAAAAGCGTTTCTGGGGAGGGCGTATGCATATTGGACGATGTGGCTAAGTTTATTTCTGAGCTGAGGCAGATGCGTGAGGAAATGGGTAGGAATAACAGAGAAGATCTCTGCTTTAGGCATACCTCCTGTCCTTTCGGTCCGGAGATGATGTCGAGACAGGAGTTGAGTATATAGACGTCCATGTGAGCCATAGTAGTGGTGTATCCAAACGCTTTGGCATAATCGACCAGGTACTTGCGGACCATAGGTGAGGTCAGAAGAACAGTTGTCCAAGTTCAAGGGTTAGTATGCAATGTCCAGCTTATCAGGGGGGCTAGTAAGATTTCAAACTACCGACGAACTGACCTCCTCGATGTCGCCATGCTTTTCCAAGGGTATGCATCATCGTGTGGATGCGCCCCTTGAGACCGAGAAGAGCGACATATCCACGTCCATCGGGTCCAAATATTCCTGAAGTATGGGCCTCGTCGACACAGATATGGGCATGGCCTTTCGGCACCAACTCATCCACTGTGCGCACGATATCCTCCAAAGGCGAGAAATCTCCATCCATGCTGTAAACACTTTCAATAGCGACGAACACTGTCCCCGATCCCTGCATAATCTGTGCATGTGTGCATGGTGCTTCTTCAAAACATCCTCCAAGCACCGCTTAAATGCCGTCAAGGAATTATGCCTAAAGTTATATTGCATATCTTTCGGAATATGCGAAAGACGCGCACCCTCGCGGATCGAACTGTGAACAAGCTGGTCAAAGATGAGGACATTACCTGGTTGTGGTACCATGGACCAGAAGGCCTCATTGGCGACACAGCCGGAGGTGCGGAGCAGTGCGTCAAGAGATTGAAAAAAGTGAACAAGACGCTCTTCGAGAGCACGGTAACCTTCACCGCTGCCAGTGGCAAGGCGGCAGCCTGTCGCGCCGAAGAGACGGGATGCAGAAAGGGCCTTAGACAGGAAAAGTTCACGGAGTAAGGGGCTTGTGGACAATGAGAGGTAGTCATTAGAGAAGAAGTCCGGAGCAGAGGATAAGAAGGGTCCATCGATAGCGAGGAGGGGAAGGCCAGACTGTTTACGGCGGGTCATGATAGCATCGAGAGACTTAGTCAAGGCTGATTCCTGAGCAGACATCGTTGAGCCAGAAAACGCTTGTGTGCGCACTGGCCTTTTATGCCGATAAGGAACGAACTTGGCACGCCATGGCAGATTTGGCGCATTTAACAGAGCTAGATGTGCTGGCATACACACGGCAAAAGTAATCCGACTGGTTTCACTCCGAGGTTTCGAAAAGCGACCCATGGTTACAGCCTGATGCAACATATTCCATGGGGAAAATGCCATGTATGAACCGATAGCCATGAGCAGTTGTCCGGACCGTGGTGAGCGGGCAAGAGATGGCCGTTAGAAGAGTAATGGCGAATCCGTGGTGTCCTCGCGGCAAGCCTTATCAGGGATCAGCCCGCATCGCACCAACAATCATCTCAGTGATTTGCATTCGGAGGAAGATCATTTTCTCCTTATACAGTCGAATGGGAAGGAGTGGACCTCCATGCAAATTGCAATACTTGCTTTTTTCTACATGGTTTGGAGGTTGACCCACGTGGCAGCACGTTGGGAGCGTAAAATACCGCATTATGATGTCACCGTAGTTGTAACGGGGTCGACCATGCCTGGAATTTTCCAAACCTGTCTGTTTAGTTTCCCAGTGTATATAGGAGAGTCATATATCAAGCTTACACGCGAGATAGTGGCAGTATATACCTAGTAGCTCTTGGTAGCCTCTTGCAGACCGTTGGGTCCGGAAGTAGTAACGGAGAGATGGCGAAGTATGCGGCCATATCCACGCACATCTCGGACCACGTTACACTCGACACTCGTGTATGCTAACGACGAACATTCAAATATCATCGCCTGAACCTTCTTGGATTGCTACAAGACCGGATCTTCCTGAGAATGTGAGTGAGCATGAGATACCCAGAAGTCTTGAGGGTTTAGCTTCTCGCCGTTCAACCAGAGCAACGGGGCTTGTAACGCTTGCATAGTATTCATGATACCTTTGGTATTCCGCATCGATTCGCAGACTTGTCAATGGAGACCATTTGACGGACTTGAACGACAGACAACGCTGCGAAGAGGAAGGAGCTGCACACAGCCTCACCTGCATTCCTCATGAACCGGAAGGTCGGGTAGCACGTGTTGGCGAGAGTCTCAAATAGCAAGGGTTGAAGACAAACACCAGTTGCTGAGTCATCATGGAACTTCTAGTCTCTGATTAATAGTGGAAAACTAATAACATGACTTATATCGTTACTTACATAAGTGGTAACAGTACCCTGGATCCGGACGCGGTCAATGTGCACATGTGCTTGCTACTTCAAGCTTCACCAGTCACCACAGGTCTGGTAGTTTCAGGGGTGCAATCTTGTTACCGGAGATGCACGAGAGGGGAACCGAAGATCACTATTTTTGAACGAAGGGTTTGTAATAAAGGTGTATAACAGCCATTATGCAGCCTTCAGAGTATGTTCTCACTCTGTGCTGAGTCATGTAAAAATCGTTTCTTGTCTTGGGCCACAATCAGCACCGCACGCACGTGAGGTGGTATGTTCAAGCATCCAAATCTCCGTCCATCTTGCATTCACCGGATCTAGTGACGACATCCGGACCGTTGAACGACTGGGTGCGTCGTACCATGGCTGCAATTAGATCTATCTGTTCTCAGTCCTGCGCCTGGAAATGCAACGACCGTTCTAGTCACCGGCGGCCGTCAGCGCCACACTGCACGTTCGGATGGTGCGAGTGTCCGAACCTCCGTGCATTGCGTCGATTGCTGTTCAAGCATGTGCTACCGTTTGTTGGGGAATTCATTATCAAGATACGCCGACGTTCTTGAGGATGCAAGTATTGAGCGCCAAGGAGATTACTGGGGACTGGGGTAATCTGCAGTGGGTGTAGATGTGTGTCCATAGGGAAACATTTGCGGGCATCAATAGATAAGGAGTATCTTCCGGCCTCGAAAGCGAGGTAGAGAGAATTCCTGTCATTTCCGCAATGATGGTCTAACGAATATTGACTGTTCGGAGGGCCAGAGATCGCAGCAGCCCAGGTAGATAAGATGTGGTCGACTATTCGGGTCGTCTCACGGGCTGGGCCGTGCGCATCGATGATACGTGTAGGCAGTCTATACAATTTCCATCATCGGCTGCGCCGCTGTGGTAATAAGAAGGGGGGTGTCTTGTGGGGCGTCATTATCGTGGGTATGTTGATCCACTGGAAAGACGGTGAATAGTTTTCTGTCAGAGTGAGAGGCTGAGCTAGGGATCGGCCTGTGAGTATGACAGCTTGATCGAGGCACGGTCAAGTTCCTTGACCTCTCGGACTGCGAGGTACAGCAAATGTTTTGAAATTGTCATCGGTACACAAGGCACCCGGGTCAAAGGAAGAAAGAAGTAGAACCATGCTATGACATAATCTAGCGTCATCTTGGCAAGTTGGGGTGGGCAATGATGGAAGGCGTGCCAATGACAGGTGGTGGGTATGTTCACATTGGGGTGGTCGAGGTGCAAAGTGTTTACCCAGAGCCTGCTTTTGACATGTGTCCGGGTGCGTTGCATCAATCAAACGTTCCATGTAGTGTGAGCGAGAGGTGTGGGTCCATATTTGTCGTTATTTGTTATGCAACATGCTTCCTCGGCAGGGCAAGCAGTTCCCGCGGCTGTGTCGGCCACGTGGCATGGCGAGGTGCTTTTGCCTCCCAACCCCTCTCCACTCACATCAAACCACGAAAAAAAGAACACAGAAAAAAAAAAATAATACAATGTTCTCAGTACCTTTCACTAAACCGAAATGGGTACAATGTTCCGACATTTAATGGCGTGAGCACCGTAGCGTGGACCCGCTCAGAATTTGTGCTGAAGCTTGAAACCGTAGTGACTATTCGCTGTCTCCACTCGGTCGTTGTGTGGCCGGTCATTGGTTTCTTCCGTGGGTGTGCGTGTGGGTCTCCAAGCTGTACTGGCCAGGGGAAGGATAGACCACTAACCTCCACAGCGCACTGCAACCGCAGGTGCCGTCGATACGGGACACTTATAAATATTATCGGGACCTGCAGCGTCTACTAGTTCGCTCAGAAGGACGGTTTACCCTTCTGCCGTCGCTTATAAGTTATTATTACTCACAGCGGAGCGTCGAGACGATCCGAGCCATTTTCCCTGTCTTCCACTTCTTCAAACGTCTGCACTGACGACTGTCACGAGGCCCACCAACCACACTGTTCATCGTCGTTCATCTCACCTGCTATCACTCTCTCTACATGCATGCTACCGCATGCCCATCAATCTGTTCCCATCTCTCTACAACACCTTGATATCTCAGAAACGTTATCCTCTCATGGACGTCTCGCTGACGTCCTCTCCTCTAACACCCTCGCCGTCCCCCACCTCCAGTAACATGGACTCATCCACCTCCGACGTCATATCTACCGCTTCCTCCGGTACCGAAACTACCGGCGCTACGTCTGCTGCTGCTGAGACTGCGTCCAGTACTAGGTGTGTCAGATCCTTCCGCGTTTCAGCCAGAGGGTCCTTGTCTAATTTATTCCCAGTTCAGTCACGCAGAGCCCTGTCCCATCTAGCACGCCCGCAGGAGATACAGCAAGCACGGGTACGCGCTCGCCTACGCCATCGTTGACTTCGATGACCTCGAGCACTGACTCATTCACTTCTACTTCTTCTGGCTTTGCCTTTTCTTATTCCGACCCTGCATTTTCTACGTCGGTACTGGCTACGTCTTCCGTGGCCACTTCACCTACTCAATCAACCGTGGTCCCGTTATCAACATCTACCGTAGTGTCTGTGTCATCCACGTCCGTGGCTTTTACTCCGTCTGTTGACACGTCTATTTCGGCAACAACATCTCCACTGACAAGCTCCACCTCGGAATCTTTTAGTCTCGGAGAGACATCGACGTCAGGTGCTGCTACATCGAATACAAACAATACTGTTGCAAGCTTATGGACTACAGCAGAGACGTTAATCTCAACTACCACCGTCGCGATACCCGAGACGGTTTACACCACCGTTTCACCGCATACCAGTGACACATACATGCCCTATACGTCCATGTACACGATGGTTTCTACCTTACCTGGTGGCGTTGGGACAACTACCCTGACAGTGACCACTAGTGGTGTTCTAAGTACGGCCGCCGGGGCAGACGCCATCGGTAGGTGAGTGACATCTATCCGGGACGTAGAGGTTAACCCCTGTCCGGCATGGGTTTTCATCCCATTGCATACGGCTTACGGCCAGCTGAGATCATAGCAGTAATCGTTGATCCATTTGTGTCAACCCCACTACGTGATGGCTGGGGTTGCGTAGACCGGTTTCCACTTCCATCTCTGTCTCCTCGATCTCTCGGGTCTCTTTCCTTGACCTCTATCTTGGTTCTGTGAATCTGGTTCCTGTGGCTTGCCGTTCTTGGTTTACACTCGATCTGCTTCTCGTTCGTTGTGGTCCTGATTGAGTTGAACTGACCTCACTGTTGTCACAGTGACACCTCCCCGGGAAAGATTGCCGCCATCGTATTGGGTCTTGTGGGGGCTGCGGTCATCGTCGCCCTTTGGATCTTCTGCGCTCGGAGACATCATCGCAAACGTGAAAGAGATGCTGCCCTACTGGGTTCTTCACGGCATCTCGGCCCGCTCGAAGGTGAAGTGTTTGATGATGGTGAAGAGCCCGAATACCTCCGCCGGGGCTCCGGCAGTACTGGACCACCCGTGATGGAGGAGCGTTATGCGGGTATACTGGCAGCGCTACACACCGGCCATACGGCGGGGGGTAGCACAGACGGTGTTTATGGATCGCACCGGGACCGTCGGACGAATGAAAATGGAGATTCGGTCATTGATACGGCCCGTGCATCGTCTCCCACCCTTCCGTTTCATGCCAACGATGATGGATCACATATCACCCCCCTCTCGCCGCCGCCGGCTGTGGTCCTGTCATCGCGCCCGCAGACCTCAACATACGTGAATCCAATAGCGGAGCGACGCCGGAGGAGCTCCCCAGGGCCAGATGCTGCTGCGTGGCTCAGCGGTCACATCGCTCCATCGTGTGCATCTCACTACGCGCGTTCGCAGACCTTGGGGTCTGGATCTGGATCGTGCTCCGTCGATGCACTCACGCGGACGCTTACTGGAAGTGAGGAACCCCTTCTAGGCACTGGAAATCACCCTCATGCTCAGACCTCGGGTGGGAATAGACTTGGGCTGGGCTCCGCTTTTGGGTCTGCGGAAGGGTCTGCGTACAGTCCAAGCTATTACGCCGATGCCAGGAGCAGGACTTTATCTGGAAGCGGATCGTATGCCCACACGAGGAGTATGGCGTCCAGTAGCTTTGATGTATTGAGGAGCATGTCGTCGCAGGGTGCATTGTCGAGTTCGCACACTGACCATGGCTTTGGTTCTGGAGGTGTCCGGAGCGTGTCGAGCGATAGCATGGGGCGGAAGAAGTATCGGCATGGGTTCGGAAGTCCGCCATCGAGTTTCAGGGTATGGAGAGAACGTGGATCCTCAGTGCGCAACAAGGATGACAGCAAGGATCGAAGACGGAGTACGGGAAGCAGTAATATATCTGTTTCGGGGTCCGGAAGTGGCGATGAGAGGAAGGGTCGGTCGAGTCCTGCATACGGTGTTCGTGGGTTGTTGGATAGGTTATGGAGAGTGGGTCATACGCCTTCGCCATCGTCATCCTCGAGAGCGTTACCTGCTACGCCCACGAAAGGTTCGAAGGAATTCGACGTTGAGAGGACCGCAGGCATAAGAGGTGGCGAGGCCCGGCCTCCAACGCCAGTGCCGATACAAGCGCCGGTTCCAACATCCTCACGATCGTACATTGTTTCGAATCCAAATCCTTGTCCGCCCTCGCCCTTCCTGGACACGAACGCTGCAACGGTCTCAATCCCACAACATAACGACGAGCCGTATAACCCTTACGATTCGCTACGCCCACCTACTCTTCCGTATGCATCGGTGCCATCGCCTGTGCCCACGGAAGCGTCATGCCTTCCAGAGGGCTTGCTACATCCCCGACTTCAAGTAGACGGACGGAGCGCCGCAAGCCTGCGAGATTTCGAGGACTATACGCGCCCGATAGCTGGAGTAAGTGTTGTCGCGATTGCCAGAATTTTCCACTTTTCTTTAACGCTTTTATCTCTAATCCTTTGCAACTACAGCTCGTCAAGAACCGCGTGTATAGCACAACGACGTTTGGAACCGCAGACTACAGCGAGCCCACTCCTGCACACGACGCACATGAATTGCCCAGTGAGCCGACAGATAGACCAAGGGAGAGCTGGTTCGCGGATGAGAGTCCCCGCTCTCGTCTGTGTACGACTACGCTTTCTTCATGAAATTACGAATTTCTAAATTCAGCGGTCCTCTCCCTGGCTGTCTTACGCTTCTTGCGTCGGTTGGCTCTTATATCGATGCGGCATCCTCATGCATACTGTGGGACTTGTGACCCGTGATGAAGATCCAAATGGCAACGTCCTGTTTTTTTTTTACGAAAGTTCCTCCGTACTCGAACACCCGAACACCAACCGATCGTAGAAGAAAAAGAAAAGAAAAGAAAAGAAAAGAAAAGAAAAGAAAAGAAAAACTTCCAACGCAACGATGAAATGACGAACCGATTGTACATAAACCACTACCCAACTCAAACTATGCATACATATCAAGACTCATCTCATACCCGTACTGGTCCACTTGTGTAGGATATAATGGAAGGTCGTTGGGAGGTTTTTTTTTCAGGTAAGGATCTTTCTTTACTTTTTTTGTGGTGGATCATTCTGATCTTGCTGTTGGCTTGTTAGACTCGCATCTTTTTTAATTCTTAAATTTACCTATCCCTCGCCGGCGAGGGCAGCAGTTTCCAACCCTTCTACTTCATCTTTAAGACGTCATCGTCCACATTTCTATCAGCCACAACCTCATTGCTTTCTTTTTTTATACCTTGCTCTGTTCGTGCATGCATTCATCCCATTGCTGATCATTAGTAGAATACAAATACCCACCTCGTCATGCATTTACCATAGTTTTTACGACTTCATGATGCTGTTTACGCTTTTATTCTTTTTCCGAAAGAATACATCTACAGAGTTGCTAATAGTGCTCAATAGCATGTAACTTGGAATCAGGTTATTTGACGAAGCACTGGTCAAGGATGTGGGCTGCAAGGACGCCACCGTGCCAAGTGTCTTGGTAGATGTTCGAGCAAAGGGGTGGTTAGAAAAGAAAAAAAAGCAATCCCTAAAATCCTGTGTGATCCAAGGCAAGGTGTAAGTGCTATGAAGGCGAATGTCTCATGTGACTCAAATGATACTGAATCTAAATGCCAGAAATACAGGTCATGCATCTGTCGTCTCGCTAGTCGTGCGCCACGGCGGCGGAGCAGCTCTTAGTGGGTCAACAGTTCGATGACTCCGGACGTCATTCCCAGTAATCTTACCGCTGAGCGCCAGGCTTGCGTCGTCTCCTTCCACTCTACGATCTATACAATCGTTGAAATAGTCCGCATGGCGTTCATCACTCGTCATCGTCGTTTCTTGTGGTCTCCGTTTCTCCGTTCCCCGTGTTCACCACCAGTGCCACAGATATATACCACACGGCTAATTCCAGCCAGCTTTCCTCAAAGGCACGAAGAGCCACGACAGGGTGATGAGGAAACGGATACCGGCGCCGACAACCAGGGTCCCTGCTGATCCGATCTTATCAAGGATGGCACGTCCCATGAAGGCCCCGATGAAGAGGGAGAGGATGGCCATAGCCTTATGGTCGCGTGCCTGTACTGGCCGGCGGAAGTGGAAGAGTTAGGGTTCAGTCACGAGTTCGCACCATGTTACGGTTAGGACGACTGCGGCGAGGGTGTCAGTTTGCTACCAAAAGAGTAAGGGCGAAGGGCAGACAAGGGACGCAAGAGAGGTGTTCGACGTACTGGTAGTTGCGAATTCGGTATTTGATCTTTTCCCCATGATTCCCTGTAGGCCCTATGCTGGCACTCATAAATCCGATGCACACAAATGAGGGCGTGTTGCTCCATGCCGAGACAGCACGGGAATCTGAAATACTCGGTTGTCCAGACTTCCAAATGGCGATGGCCGCTGCCATGGTGAACATTGTCTGGATGAACGTGCCGAGAGTCACCCATAGACGCGTCCTGCAGCCGATCTTATCGCCAAGCCGGCCGAGAAAAGCACCGAAGATGAAGGAGAGCGTGGAGCAGAGGGCTTGACGGTCTGAGAGGTAGAAAGAGTAGTTGTGTGAACTATTGAAGAAACGTGCTAAGGCAAGGGCGAGCTGATGTACATACGTCAGGAATAGTAAAGGAGATGAAATGGAGTGAACATACCTGGAGGCTATTTCCTGTCTGGAACGCACACCATACGAAGATCGCAGAAAAGGAGACTACATCACTACCGGATATGATGGAATTAGACAACGGCGTAGTGCATGTAGAGCAGGGACATACACGAAACCGGTCATGAAGCAAGAAGCGGTTAAAGGTGCAGTAGCACGTGAACTGTCTACCTCTTGCATCAAAAATTGTCTTAAACTGCTTATCTTGAAAGAGCTAGATCCGTTCTCTGCATCGGACAGGTATGCTGGCCCACTCTGAACAACGCTCGGGGACGGCAGGTCTCCCTTTCCCTTTCCTTGCAGATCGAAAGAATGAGAATCATTTATCGCGGCACTCGCGTCTTCTTCGTGAGACTCTTGGACTAGGTTACTGCTGCCTTCAAGGCCGTGCTCATGTCGCTGGCCTTCCTGGACGGGGTTGAGATACGAAACGGGATGCCTGGTAGAGATAAGAGGTTCAGTCTGGGCTTTGAAGGACTCCGTCCTGCGGTGCAACCATCTTGGAGGACGACATTCTAATCCCTTTTCTTTTTCGATCTCGTGGGTTGAGATAGAAAGTCTGCTCCTCTTTCGACACTGCATAACGCTTTTCTATGCTGCCTTGCGCCTGCAGTCGGCTTTTGCCAACAGTAACCTGTTATTGGTCGGCTTCCAAACTTCAACCACACGAATGATAAGAACAGGACTCCTATTGTGCGCTAACGGATCCAGCTACCTCGGCTGCCAAGGGCGAATGAGGAGGTCCGAAGCATTTGAGCTGGATAGACATCAGGCCGGACGCATAAATTTCATAAACGTGGCGCGGAGATTCAAATGTTATCAGTTAGACAATTATGATCGAGTGAACGATCACCTTGTTTACAAGGTCACTGCACCCTGAAATTCGTCGCGCATTTTTCGGCAACCGTGATCCTCCCAAAAACAAAGTCCGATTCAAATCATGGTGGCAATGAATTGTAGGCATGCAATTATGTAGGATTGTAGGTTTAGCCCGTCCAAGCTCAATGCCAATGCATTGCCGCGCTGTGTACTTGCGAATGAGGATGGGGGGACGCCGCGGAGACAGAGGAGTTGACAGCAGAGCAGTGAGTGGTATATGATCTTTAGACATCGAAATCTCGCATGTAAATTATGCTTTAGGGGGCAACAAAAGCCTACGTCCGATGAATTGCGGCCTCGGTAACTCGACAAGGGCACTGTACAATTCATGCACTGGAGATTTACGCCATCGCACCTGGCAAGGTCGCTCGGAACCATTTGCTTGCAGGGAGACAACTGTGGAGCGACGACGCTTCTCCAACCCAGTCCAAAACCGAAACGTCTCCTGAGCGTGAAATGATCCCCGTCAAGAGACGCCCAAGCATATTCTGCAGATTCCTCATAGAGGAATGGTAAGTGGAGCGTGAACATTCCAAAAAGCAAGTAAATAGCGTCTTCTAGCAGAGCGGTACGACGTCGAGCCTCGATCGGGCGGAAGTCCTCAAGATGTCGTTTCTGTGTTCCTGCTGCCTTCTGGAGCCCTCTGAGCACTACCTCGTCCGTTTTGGGATTCGGCGGTTCGCAGTCCATGTACAGCGACCAGTATCGCAAATAAAACAAGGTCGTCGGAGAAGCCAATAATTCTTGAAGAGTCCAACCAGACGCCACCAGAAAATGATGCTACGTCTAAGAGATGGACAATCGTCAGGGGCCGACTGACCATACGAAGAGAGCATAGATCCAATTCTCTCTTGCAATTCAGCGCCGCTATCTTTATCAATAGTCAGTGTCGCTCCACTCCAACAAGAAACTGCACCTGAGCACGAGAATGCAGCTCTGCAACACCGTCTGGACGCGGTAAGTCATTGATACTTGTATCTTTGATGTCGCATAGCAACAATTCTCCACTTTTCGAAATGTGAGGCAACGTACCTTCGAGATCCTGTCCAAAGTGCGTGCCAGGTGGCAACGAGAGTAGCTCTTTGCGTTGAGAATCACGGTCAAAACGTGATATCTGCGCATCCCGGATACATAGGACTCCAGTCTGCGTGTGCAGCAATCGTAGTGGAATGATTCTCACAGTTTCGTTGACAATCTTCCTGATTATTTGTTTGACATCAAACAAATATGAACTTGAAGTCATTGCTATTACCCCCTAAGGAGTGAACTGGCGTACCATTTTCTATATCAATACACGTCGCGAGAAACTCCTGAGTTGGTGCAGGGTGTTCTGGAGAACAGAGTGCCAACACATTATTTGCAAGTGTAACAGCGTCATCCAGTTCCATCATCACACTCAGTTTCTGATAAGACACTCCACAAGAGCGACTAGAGACGTGCATTGAACAAAAAGTGCTGGGGGCGGAAGCACATTCCAATGCTGCTAGTCGGAGAAATAAGCTCTTTCCCAAGTCAACCGGACCCACAATGCTGATTCCACTCTCAGTGTCACTGCACTATCGAGGACGGCATCCGTGGGCAATAAAGTGGTCGTCCCTTCAAACTTTGGGGAAACCTGTTGAATAGACCCATCTGGCGACTAAGGCATCCAGTCAGTTGAGTGAGAGTTAGAACGAAAGTGAGACTGACCTGGACTTCAGTGATTGCCGGTTCACTCTCATGTACCGTGTGTTCAGCTCTTATTTAGGGGAAAGACTTGCGTTGCAGAAGGGTTGGCACTCATATCTTGACCGATGCAAACGTCCTAGGTAGCGTCAACCAATGTGCCCATTGAACGTCGAATGAAATGGATTGGGGGATGGGGTTGGGACTCTGCACAGGACGCTCCCGAACGAGACATGTCGTCGTACACGTGCTCCCAGCTCGGAACGCCGAAGTGACTTCAGCACATCCCTCTCGCTGGTGAGGGCAGCAGTTTCTACTGTAACCCTCAACAGGTCGTCTACATTTCTATTACCTATGACCTCAATACTTTCTTTCTTACCCTGCTCTCTTGTTCATGCAAGCATTCAACCAAAAGCAATCTATTGAACTGGATCCCTGTAAGACCTAAACCATGGCCGTAATTGCTATGAAGGCGAATGTCATATGCATATATGTAGCTCTAATGATACTATATCTAAATGCCAGAAACCCGGGATATCCGTCTTTCGTCTCGCTGGTCGTATGCTAGGCAGCAAGAGCAGCCTCTAAACAGGTCAACGACCTCTCCCTGATTATCTTACCGCTCAGCGCCAGGCTTGCGTCATCTCTTTCCACTGCTACAAGCTATACAATCGCCGAAAATAATTCGCGTTGCGTTCGTCACCGGTCGTCTCTGGTGGTTTCCATTTCCTCGTTCCTCGCATTCATCTTCAAAGAGCACGGATATATACCGCGCGACTAGTTCTTGGGAGTTTTCTTAGGTGGGCACGAACAACCACGACAAGGTGATGAGGAAACGGATACCGGCGCCGACACCGAGGGTACCAGCTGATCCGATTTTGTCAAGGATGGCACGTCCCGCTGAATCCTCCGATGAACAGGAAGAGGATGGCCATGAACCTTGTGGTCACGTGCTTTTACTAGCCGGCGGAAGTGGAAGAGTTGGGGTTCGGTCATGAGTTCGCACCATGTTGTGGTTAGGACGACTGTGGAGAGGGTGTCAGTATGTCACGGGGAATGGAGAGACAAGGGACCGAAGGGAAGTATTCGACGTACCAGTAGTTGTAAATTGGGTGTTTAGTCTCTTTCCCATGATCCCCTGTAAACCCATGCTAGCACTCATAAACCCGATGCACACGAACGAGAGCGCGTTGCTCCATGCCGGGTCAGCACGAGTATCCGAAAGACTCGGTTGTCCAGACTTCCAGATGGCGATGGCCGCTGCCATGGTGAACATTGTCTGGATGAACGTGCCGAAGGTGACCCATAGACGCGTCTTGCAGCCGATCTTATCACCAAGTCGGCCGATGAAAGCGCCGAAGATGAAGGAGAACACAGAGCAGAGGGCTTGTTGATCTGCGAGGTGGAAAGAAAGGTCGTGTGTACCGTTGAAGAGACGTGCTAAGGCGAGTGCAAGCTGATATCCGCCACATACGTCAGGCGTAGTACAGGGCGGTGAAATGAAGTAAGCGTACCTGGACACTGTTTCCTGTCTGGAACGCACACCATACGAAGATCGCGGAAAAGCAGACCGCATCACTAGCGGATATAACGGATTTAAACAGTATCACAGTGGAAATGAAGCAGGGACGTACATGAAGCCGGTCATGAAGCAATAGGCGGTTAAAGGTGCAGAGGCGCGTGAACCGTCAATTTCCTGCATCAAAAATTGCCTTAAGCTGTTCATCCTGGGAGAGTAGGATCCTTTCTCTGCGTCGGATGAGTCCCTTGGCCGGCTCTGAGCGACAGCGGGTGAGGGCAGCTCGTCTTTTTCCTTGGTTTGAGGGGCGGAAGACATGTCGGAGTGAGGATCGGAAGAATGAGGAATATTTGTGGGGACGCTGCTTCCGCGGGCGTCTTGTTCGTGAGGCTGCTGGGCTGGGCTGCTGCTGCCTTGGCCGATATCGCGTTGCTGGTCCTCCTGGACGGGATTGAGATACGAGACGGGACGTGATCTGGTAGAGATGAGAGATTCAGACTGGGCTTTGAAGGACTCCGTCCTGCGGTGCAACCACCCCCAGGCCTTCTTTGAGGATGTCATTTTCCTTTTTTTCTTTTTTCTTTTTCTTATTGGACCTGGTGGGTTGGGACAGAAAGTCTGAACGTCCTCTCTAACACCGCACGACGCTTTTTCTATGTTTTACGGTGGACTTACGACACCACTCGCAGCCGAGAGTTGCGACACTGACCCTGATATCTTTATAAGTTGGTTGCAGTCGCCGCTAATAGATACTGTCATTACTTATCACTCGCCCTGACAGAGAGACGACGTGGAAGTAAATGTTCAAACTCTGAGCATCGAGTCGAGTTTCCGACGATCAATCTGATCTTACTATGACAAGTGCTGCAATGATGTCATGCCTGCAATTCAAGCAGGCAAACCACGGTTCTCATATTTCCGCTCAAACAACGCAAGGTGTTAAGACCGCGGCACAGTCAGCTTCACATTAATCATTAATCAAGACTCGCCAGCCGATGGGCTGATTTTTTGTTCGGGTCCCTGGAGTATGGTAAAAGGATTAGCTTGGCGGCGACCGGCTTTGTTTGGTTCCCAGGCTGTTGCCAAACAAACGCCAAGATGGGTCGCTTGCTTGTCTCAGGAGATCTGCTAGTTACATATCCAACACAAACTTTGATGCAAGATTGGTCTTTCAACCACAGAACGGGCGGCGTAAGCCATGCGGATAACTCGGATTCTGATAGTGACGATGCAGACCGTGGCCGTTGCGGTGTCTCGAGTCTACTTCGCGACATCGACCTATCATCGCGTCAAGAGACCGTGGACTACAAACCAAACCCTTGGAGTATCGCCAAGATCAACGCACGTTCGTATGGTCTTCCGTCGGCAAAGGAGACGGCACAGATGCCTTCTAAGGCTAATACGACCCCTACGATGGGACCGATCGAAACTGCTTTTAAGAGACAGGCTGACAGAGCGCAGAACACGAAGATCTCTCGTGAAGGGAAACGCGCTTCGGGAGAGAACGTGACAAAGGTATGTAACCCGTCTTATGGGCGAGCTGTCAAAGGTAATGCAAAGTACGCGAACGGCGATTCTCAATGAAGACACGCGCGAACACCGTAACTGATCAAACGACGGCGACCGCCCCCTCTCAGTTTAATCCACCTGAGAGGGCAGTCAACAGACCGAAATCTCGATGTCGTGCGTTTCCAATGCCGCCTGATCAATCAGACTCTACCTATCCAGAGCCTAATGCGCATATATCCCCTTCTGACGACCTAATGCACCAAACGAGACAAAGGGCGCCGATGGTAGCCAGAACCGCCGGCCGTACAAGTCACGCGCACGGGATCGCGATGCCTCCTATCAACTTCCCTCCACCTCCTGAATCATCACCTGGTGCTCCAAGCTTGCCAAACGAATCGGCTAGCAGGCTGTGCCAGTCCAATATTCTTCCTCCCCAAACGAGAGTTAATAATATTCCCATACGAAAGGGATCCGAAACCTATGCATGCCCTGACCCCGCGAAGCCTGCACGACCTTGCGTACCTTCTATTTCCGAAAAGAAAGTGTTAACGCGCGTACATTATCCCTCGTCGCATGGGCACTATCCAGGCACACGTTCCTCTCCTGGCGTACCCCATGTCAGAGCATCGGATGATCAGGATCGCAGGTTACCTGGCACAGATCCCTCTTGTCGACCTTACGCACTATACAGCTCGCCCGTACGCCCTGTCAGATATCCAGGTAATGAGGATACACACGCATCGCTTGTTTGGCCTGCACTTCTATCCCTCAGCAGAAACGACACTCCCTCCTGTCCAGTTATTATCCGTTTACAGAACTGACTCGCCACCAACCTATGGTGCAGAAACCCGAATCCACGAAGAGGTCCCGCTGCTACATGTTGACAGCGAGTCGACGTACCTGGTATCGGATGCGCAAGGACACGCGGGAAGACCTGTGGCGAATCCGCGGCACGCATTAATTTCCCATTGCCCTACAAAAAGAAGTGCCTCTCCCATTCCAGGACCGTCTACGCCAGCCAAGAAAGCTAGGATTCGGACTTCCTTGCCTTCGCCTCCCTCGCCGCCCCCCAAGCCCCGCCCACCTCCATACTCGGCATCTTCACCCACATTCGCACGTGCGTACAAATTTGGCACCGAAGATAACGATCCTGATGCATCCTGGTCTACTTTTTCCGCGGCGAAATTGGGCAAGAGGACTGCGGCACTCGGTTCTGGGGCGAACAAAGCTCGAAATGGTCCTAGTGGTGGGATCAAAAAATCCGGCACATTCAAGCTGCCTGGTGTGGGACTTGGCCGGCGGGCCAAGTTAGGCAAAGCGTACTGATGCTCCATTTTTACCGCCGCAGCACGAGCAGAAGAGGCGTGTGATCACCTATCTTCCACCGCCGCCGCAGATGTCGAAAGCGGAGGCCGGAGGTCCATCAGATAAGGAGACGGAGCGTCGGCGCGCCAAGCGTGGGTTACATACATCCACAAGAGGAAGGAAGGAATCGATAATCGAGTGCCATGTTCTATCAGATTCGGAAGCCAAAATTGGCACGTCCGTGACTGCGGCCAAGCATCAAGAGTTGGACGACAACAACCTCGGCACGGCTGTACCGCCCACAGACTCGGACTGATGTAACCCTTGTTGGTGAAGAGCACGATCTGTACGAGTCATCGCCACCTGCGACTGTACCGTTCGACATAGATGATGTATTCGTGCGGTACCCGCATGTGCGGGCGGATTTGAAAAAGGTATGTGCGTTCCTCCTATACGATATGATCTCTCCATGCCCGCGTGATGTCTATGCTATTCATCATGAGGTGAGGATTGATTGTACGCTCTTCCACATCTATCAGTAGCAGCGGCGCCTTTCGAGGCAATTTTGGGACATCCTCAAGTTCGGGAAGTTTGGGGTGGTCTGGGAAGGCTGATGTGGATGATTTGTCCCTTCGTCACTCCGTTTCCCCGCAGGTATTAGTATGTACGTACTTTCGTGTCTTTTGCTATGCCTAGCTAGAGCTTCTCCTCTGAGGATTAGTACGCGAGTATTGCTCCGACTTATAATACTGATGCATTCACTCGAACTGTCGGAGACTGGGAGTCCTGGATGAGGAGAAACAGCGACACCACCATCCTTACCCGCTCCTTCTCCGTCATTCTTAGTTCAGCTCGTTTTCTCACCTTTGTTCCCTTCCCGACTCGCCAGCCCCCTTTCCATTACGTGACAGAAAGGGATGACACTCCACCATTCCAGTCGTACCAAACTGCGAGGCGTCGAAGCACTCGGATGAAATACTCGCCGGTGACGATATCGCTATCATATTACATCTTATCTCGCCCATCTCGCTAGGGAGGTGCACGCGCTGACGAGCCTACTGATGGACGCGAGACAGGGATGCGACCCGGATGTATTTTATCATCGCACGAGGGTAAAAGGTTAAGGGTATCCGCGAGTGTGAGGATATGGTGGAGCAAAAAGATTTGCCGGGATCGAGTGCGAGGCGGAGGACTCATCAATGGATGCGCTGGAGAATCGTCTGGGATTGGATGATTGTAAATCTGCCAATACATCCGAGGTCACCACGTCTTCCTTACACACGTTTTTTCCAACCCTTACCCTATAGTATGCGCGACAGCGGTACTCGGAGGAACGTGTAGATCATATATTAGGTGCCGCAAGGAAGTCTACGATTGGCATCGTCCTTTTCCCCTCCAATCTCCAAGACAAACCGTGCTTGCGGGCTTGCCAGCGATGAATGTCGGTGCGTACCAGCAGTCAGAAAGGCTGAGGCGGCGTTATATTGACAGTTCGCTGGTTTGGTTATTTCAGATACGAAACGGATCGAAATTATTCAGGGTGGTGTCTGGAGAATTTGTATCTGTGGACTGGAACTACGCCGAGCTATTTGGGATCACCTCCGGTATCTGACTCCACGCCCTTACGTTACTTGTGTCAAGTTCTCCCTAGAGCAGTGGATTCCGCGTCTACAGCACCCACAATGGCGATATCCTATTCGATTCAGGTCAAAACAGTTCAACCAGTCCAGACCCGTCTGCTCCGTTGGCCTGATGGCCGGCAGCTGTTCGTCGCGGGAACAGACAAAATCACCTGTTTCGACTTTTCCAAGTCGTTGTCTTCAGAATGGTCAATCCATGAAAACAAACGTGGGTTATCTATAGCATCCAATGGCAGATTCATTGCATGTGCCACAGGCTCATCAGCTTCACTATGGGATTGTGTGTCCCACAAGCAGACCGGTAGTATTGTTGGACGCATTGCAGGAGTCGGATGCATTACTCTCTCTCCAAGTAGGGGGTATCTTGCATGTGGAACCAGCAAGAATATTACAATTCACGATCTCAGAGGTGTCCTTCCACCTAAGTATTTTGATCGCGGTATAAGTGTACATCTACTAGTATTCACGAAGCTCACATCGCTAACGATCATCACGCTATTCTCGTGCCCTGCGTAACCCTCTAATCCGTCTGAAACTATGAAAGATAAGATTCGTAATCATAGATACGGGACGGCCCGATGAACACCAGAATGCTGCTCTCAGAGGGGATTGCGAACGCTTCGAGTCCTAGTCACGATGTGCTAGCAAACCGCGCTCTTATACGAGTATGCTTTACTGGAGCCTGTGATAGAGGACATCAAGGACGTGAGTCTGCCTTCTCACTCCCCTATGTGCACATTTACTCACTCACACCTCAAGTCGCTCCAAGTTTAGCCATCGCCTATCGGCCATATTTCGATGGAAAGTGCTCTACTCGGTCAGGGCGATCGAGAGCGTGCCCCACGCACATTCGATCTTGCCTTTCATGCTTCCGAGCCACACGACATCAGATTTCTCTACCGAAGGTGCGCAGGTGTTTCCTGTCATTCGCGGGACTCTCGGAAACTGACCCCTTGTTGCCATTCATGTCGGCCCTGGCTGCCTTTGTAACGGTCCTGGGTGGATGCGCATCTTCGAGGCCCATTCCTCGTTCAAAGAGTTGGTTTCGTCCATGACGAGAGAAGTGGACAATGAGCGAATCCTACGAGTGGTTGAAAGTTTTTTTTTTTTTTGATATGTCATGTTCTCGCACATTTAACGGGGCCCAAATGAGCTGTCATTCCAGGATGTTAAATTCAGGTCCAAATACGTATCGGACCATGCCCATTGGTGATCAAGTCTGCACGATTCCTACTCTAGCGGGACATATGCAGACTTGGGCACGATTGAGCATGGCCAGATATGTGTTGTATCGACGAGTCCACGAGCTTCATCCTTAATGAATCTCTCACATCTATGTACAAATGGTATGCGAATTCCGCAGCCACGCTCGTATTCCTTGCTGATGTTGCGCGCTCATCCAAGCTCGGTGACCTTATGGGTAGTTTACGGGTGACACGGCCATGGACTTTGCAAGAGCTTCTCTCACCAAAGGTCCTCTTTTCTATGACCTCGCATGGCAATCGTACTTCGGCGGTTCCGTACCAAACAACAAGGAATCTCCGGGGATTATACAGGAGCTAGCAGACGCTATCGAGACTCCCCGCGGAACTATCATCAAATTCTCTCTAGACGATCTTGGTGTGCGCGAGAAACTTCATCTCGCCTCGACGCGCAATGTGACGGTCGAGGAAGACGTCTCGTACTCTCTCATCGGCATATTCAAGTCTGATGTCAAGCCCCACTACGGTGAAGGAGCCGACGCTCTCGGACATCTCCTGGAGGAAATCGTGGCTCGCTCCAGCGAAATCACTGTGTGCATGGCCAAGGAAGTTGTCGTCTTGCAACAGTTGTCTGCCGGATTCCGTTTCCGTTTACAGCCAAACTCATTACAACCCTCCATCACTCGAAGGGGAAGAAATGGAAACGTGCGTCACGGAATTGCGTAGTAAGCTACCCCAACAAGAAGCCCCGAATATCTACAATCAAATCAACTTTCTTCCACCCGCTCGCTTCGCGGCCTGCCGTCTGCACCTTCTATGCATTGCCAGAGGAAATGAGACGCTATACCGTGCCACGTATCGGGGCTTGGAACAGTGGAATTCGCGACTGCAGATGGTCTCCCGCTGCGCCAGCCTCAGAAATGCGTCTTCGTGCATCCGTGAATTCGTCATATCCGAAGTCCGAGTAGTGGGGTTGCCTGTGGAAATGACTTAGAGTCTGATACCAACTCCTGGCTCGGATTCAGATCAGATCGTAACGCTGAATCGGATGGGGTCGTGCCGCCTTCACCATTACACGCTATCTTTCGTGAGTCACGTTTGACGACTATACGTGGGCATTACAAATGATTACTCACCTCGGACAGCCCTTCAACGCATTGCTTCCGAACGAATGTACAAGAGGGCCGCTGCAGAGAACGGGATTGTCGTCTTGGGACTCGGAACCGACATTACCTCCAAGAACATTCGAGTGAAACTGTTGGAAATCCTTTGATGTGCGTATGTGGGATTTTGGGCTCAACCATCGGTTGCTAATGGTCTGCCTTTCTTCCTTTATCGGAGGCTTTTTTTCTGTTCGTATTTTTCGTGCTGTCTTCGTTGGCTTACTTGTTACTCAAAGACGTAGAGGGAGCCTCAAGATTTGTTCATAGTCATGTGCAATGGACGACGCAGGCTTGTCGACGAGGTGACGAATCATGCAAGAGGCTGGTAGTAGCACACAGGCTTTCACCCTCGTCATAACTTCCCATTCCACTACCATTTGCACTGTACCGCTACATGCTGGCCTAATAACTTGGGCTTCGTTACTTGTACTAATTACTATCTACCAGATCTTCAAACCAGGAGGTTTTCTGACTTCCGTCAATTCCCGTGAAACGTTTTCGATCCATTGTAAACGTTGCTCTGGCTTAGATTACAAGCCGCTGCGGTGTACTTAGTATCGCCCTGTTTGCCAGCAACGTCATTATACGTCTGGTGTTGGCTGCGGGTTGCCTGTCCTCTTTCTGCTCGAATATTGGCATCATCTACAGTTGGAGAGAAAGCCAACTGGAGGTCAAAACAGGAATTCAGTGGAATATATTTTGAAGAGGAAGGGAAAAACTCACTGCAAACCTCAAGGGGAAGCGGTAGTGACTTCCAGGATACTCTGAAGACTCTTAAGAGATAAGATGTACTAAGATTTCCAGGGACGAACGGAACTACTCGAAATGTCGTTCGTGGAATGTTCAAATACATATCGACCTTCATCAATCATCTTCTGGTGAGATTGCTCCGCTGTTACCGCACCCACTGCAAGCTTCCAGCGCAGTAATATCATTCCAGCATAGGCATAACATGGATCTCGACGAGTTGATATCAGACATTTCAAACAGACCTCGTTCTAGCACAAATCAATCAAAATCGCATCCTATTCACCTATCAAAAATGGCACGTCATATACAGTGCATATACCAGAGGACTAATAGCATTACCTAACGCAATAAAGACTCACGAGAAATACCGAGAAAAGATATATAGCAACTCCGGTAAAGGAACGTAGCCCCAACGCTCGCGCGAACGAAGCACGCTCCAGCTGAAGCCGCCGCCTAATAGAAAGGTCGCTCTGGAACCCGCGGTAGACTCCTGCATGTAGATACAAATGAAAAACGAAGTTCCCCGGAACATGCAGGAGGACAATAGTGCGAGTCCATTTGGATGAGTTGAAAAGAAAAAAATGAACTGCGTCGCGTTTCCCTATTTGTGCTGATGGAATGGTTTAGGGCAGGCTATTCCGCGCTCCCAGGCCAATCGACGTTACAATGGAGGTGTCGTTCATAGGGTACATGATATCAAGGAGTGGAACGGCGGTATGGTTGAGAAGTAGTAAACTTCTGATGGGCGCTGACTGGTGGCTACTAACTGACTGACGGGATACCATTTTCAGGTTGGTTTACAGGCTCCTTCCCGTCCGCGACCTTTCCCCTACATATGTCGGACCAAACGCGTGGGCCTTGTACATAGGTCTTTCAAGGAATTCGGTTCCTGTCAGCTCAATGACTGCTTCAACCTTCTTACCGACAGAACGGTGACTTACCCTTACCGAGGTCCTACTGTAAATCCACGTGCACGAAGAGACTATGAGTCGCTACCTATTCACCCAAGCCTAATCAAGAGTGATTGCACCTCGAATTCATGGGCATCGTGGTCCCTTTTAGTCTTAGCGAGTCGAGACTCCAAAAGGTATGGCACACACGAGTCTCTGCAAAACTTGGCTTATTCTGTTGCTCGGTAGACACATGCCATATCGACTCATAGAGACAACTGCTTCGATCACTTATCAGAATCAGAAATGCAGTACCGCGATAAGTTCAACTGAGACAATATTGCGCGCCTTCAATCGAGCTGCGTGTATGAGGAATAAAACGATACTTCTGAGTGGTCTTCTCCCATAGTGGTCAGCAACCCGGGCGGCCGCCATCCGATTCTACTTTTGCTGCGATTGGATGTTAACCGTTTTGCACAGTCGTCGCCGCCCGTATACTGCGGAACGTTCAAGCTTACGTGGGGATGTGTCTTGGCATCTCGTGCTTCTTGACCATCTGATCAGAGAAAAGGCCATCCCAAATGTACTCCGCGTGCGCCGTGCGGTCAGAGCGCCTGTATGCATATAAAGTCTACGGATTCCCTAGCTCTGAGCCAAGGCGATTATGCGACTCACCTTTAGCACTAGTGATTACTTGAATACGTCTATGGCTGACGAGCACGGACGATCACTCTACACTGTGTCCACCAGTGGTTTCTTAAACCGACAGACGACCCTTTACAAGGCCAACACTTCCGGTAGCTCAAACGATCCCACGACACTTGCCACCATCAAATGGAGTCACTGCAGTAGTGACAAGATTTGGTTCGAGGGGAGAGAGGTTGAAGCTAGTCAGTTGATGACCCAGCACGGGTGTTGCTCGTGTGTTGTCTTGATCGCTCAACGCATGCGGATACTAACCGATGGTAACAGGAGTCCATGTTTTGTCGGACCAGACAATCAAACGTACAAGTGGAAGATTGGCAGCGAAAACTGCTGGGTGCGTCTGAATTCATGGCATAGGAGCGATTGCGCGATGAATGAGAGTAGCTTAAACGAGAGAGCATGGATGGTCAGCTTGCCAAGTACCATAAACACAATCTGGGAATTAGGAAGCCGTCGCATCCCCCGTATCTCGATATTTCTGATTCGCTTCAGTACATACTGGATCACGTCGTGCTGACTTTTATTCTTGCAGAAAATATGAGCCGAAGGTAGGCTTCGGATTGCTGGCATGGCATTTTGGCACTGACATCACAAACTTAATCCCCCCAGCTACACATTAGATTTGGTGTTAGTATTTTTCTGCTGTATAGCAAACTTAGGGTGGTAGCAGGAATAACAGATGCGATAACGGGGGAATATTTTGCAGTGTACAGATCAATGCTCGTTCTTGGTAGGGACCAGGTTTTAAATTTCGTGAGTGATGCTCGCGTGTTACTTCGAGACTAAGTCAAAGTTAGTCTGGATACCAGACTGTCTATATGAAGCAAGCTGTCGATAGACATTTGGACGCTTCATAGACAGGCCTGCCGGTATCCAGACTACATGTGAAATCGTAAAGTATGCCTAAACAAGGTAATATTTGCGCGAGGACTTCGAACACCAGTAGTTAGCAACGAAGGGAGGCAGATCCCACTTATCTGCAAGGACGTCGATACATCCAGATACATCCAGATGGGTGACGGATTATCGCGGCTACTAGCACAAAAGCGCTACTGCATTTGGGCGTACATTATGGTTTTACGGAGAAGGGGGCCGAAGCAACCAAAACAACCGGCCCAGTTGTTATACCACTGACCCGCATGGCATCCTGGTTACGGAGGACACATTCGCCCCTTAGTATCTCATTGTTGCTCAGAAGTGGTTCCGGATATCATTATCCTGTTCTTCAGAGGTGGTTTATGCCGATCCTTACTACCCAGCGAAAATGGACCATTGCAATGGTTCCTGACACCAACTACGTTTTGAGTTTGTCCTCAGATTGAGGAGGGTGGGTACAGAGGTACCTCGTGTCACCCCCAAGGGACGCCAGATTGAGCTGAGGTTTTTTCGTGAGGTGCCGTCGGTGCCTGGCAACAGCTTATGGGAAGGTCATATTGCTTAAGGTGAGTATAAAAGTCGATATCTTTGTCCGGAAACCATCCCCGCATCGTCTCTCGCCCTCCGTCTGATAGTCATTCTATTCATTTTACCGCGGGTGCGGTTTTGTAAGTGATTAGCTTTCGTGGCTCTTGGTCTGTGACCTGTCCACTCTCTCGAAATGCACTTTCTTGAAACCCCATTCCTTCTTTTCACCCTCCTTTCCTTTCCTTTCTTCGTACGGTCACAATGTACGCTCAAAATTCCGAACAATCCTCTCACAGCGGCGGGCCTCGCGACTCCTTTTGAACTCTCGGGATGTAATGTAATCAAGAATTTGTCCTCTTGAAGATGCAACTACTTACCCATTCAATGCGTAGCAACTAGACTTCGCTGACCAAGGCGTTTTCGTGGAAGCAAACATATTTGATCCTGCGACTGGCAATATCCAGATTTACAGTCCCCTCGTCATCAATGCTGGAATGACCAGTACAGCGAACAACACAAATCATTCCAAGTCCGGTGGAAGCGCAGGCTTTTTTATTCCCCCCATTACGCCTACCGTTCCCAACGGCGCAGTTGTTGCTCTTTGGTTTGGCTCGAATGCTGATACACTCACTTTGACCGGCGACACCAATACTTGTGTCAACGGGCTGGACAACTTGGTATTTGGACAAGTATGATTCGTCTTTCGTTCGCTCCTCGCCATGTTTATTGACCGACTTATAGTTCGCGTACTGTAATGCCCCAGCTTGGTTCACTGCCGTCAACGGAGCTGTGGCGAACGACCTTGTTAAGGTTCCGGCTCCCGGTACTGGTTTAAACGGCCAAGCTTGTCCAACGACACGGGATTTCCGGATCGTTGACCAGGTATATTTTATTTGTTCGTTTGTGTCGCCCACCGGTGTCTGATCCCACGGCGTCTTCAATAGGACCAGTCAGATAATGTCGTTACCACGTACCTTTTGATTAACAATAATACGTTGGCGCAGCACACTCCGGAGAATGCGCAAGCCAATCCTAATGCAGAGGTTCTATCGAACGGTACGGACATCCGCCTAAACATGTTTTGACATGTTCTGATCCCCAACAGCATCCGATAATGCCCTCCTTAACGAGTTCATTCAGCCTACACTCAAATGTACGCCTTACCAAAACGCTTGTGCGACTTGCCCCACTGGTCAATCGCCTGCGCTATCGACGAATGTTAGTGTTTTCTTGCGGCGTGGGAATCTCACCACTGATACTTTGGACACTTAGGAACTCCAAGGAGCATTTTATCCGCCGGCTGGTGGTCCAGCACTGGTCCCCCTCAATGATCCCATGGTCCTCGTCAATGGAAATGAGTCTCTCGACAAAGTTAACCTGTATCGCGCAGGGGTGGGTCAACCCACAGCCGACCAAAACAATGCATCCGGGACGACTTATTGGTGCGTGTGTGCCCCTGACAAATTGCTATCCCTTACCATGGTTCGTACTGACTTTTTTATATATAGCCATCAATTTGCTCAGTCAGGCATCTTCATCGCATCGAATGAACAAGCGTTCACTCAAGTGACCTCCCCTGCCGCCGACCAAGCGACGAATTTATTCACTTTCTTGGCTATGAGGTTTTCGGCGTCGTTCGGGCCGGCGCCCGGTATGTCTTTTTACTTTGATGCTGTGGCTGCCTCTGGTCCTTAAACATTCAACTCTCTCGTGGGAAACGCGATATATAGGACTCGGTTGCGTAACCTTGTTGAATGTAGATAATCCTGTTACACTAACTATGGATGGAAACGGCGTTGTAACTGCGGCTGTGATTAACACGTCCGTCTTGCAACAAATCCTTGGAGGTGGAGGAGTACGTTGGTTGTCTCCTTCGTTGATTTTTTGAAGTTTCCCTTTGACGTTCGACTTCCCTAGGTTTCTTCTTCTATCACTACCGCTACCACAAGCTCACATCCTACTACTACTAGTGCAAGTTCGCGTCCCGCTACTAGTGCACACACGACTAGGCACTCATCCCCGCCTCCGGCGTTAAACTCGTGTCAACCGCTGCGACCTGTATCCTCCTCGACTCCGGGCATAACCTCGATTCAAGGCACGACGTCGGCTCAGATAACTTCCACCGTGACAACCACTTCGGCAGGTGCAGCTACCTCGATTCCGTCCCATTCCAGCGGCGGCTCTTCGGCACCCAGTCATACGCACACGCACACAAAACATCACAATAACCCGACCGACACAACCCCATACCTTACAATAACGCCGAGTGCGACAGGATCAATCATGTTGGATACGACTAACACCATGATCACACCGAATGCGACTTGCACCGCGACCGCGCCGGGGGCGAATGGTACCCAAATTCAAACTGTCACTGTCACCGTCACCGCGACGACGTGTCCGACTAAGGTGAGATACAATCTTCTTCTGCGTCTTGTGGGATGTTTAATGTGCAATAATCTTAATGCGGTATGTCTCCTGCTACATAGCCGGCCGGACAGCGCCGGAGGTCACCTGATCCGTTGTCACCACGGCTCTTGCCGAGGTAAGAACCACTGAACCAGCACTGGTACCGTTTTCGATTATGACTCCCCCGCATTCTAGGTCGTACAGCCACAATAGGATACGTAAGAAGAGGTTCTCTCTGGAAATGTGATGTAGCGTTGCTTCCCATGCGGGCTGGTCTTTTCAGTTATTTTTAAAGTGCCAAAGTATTTGGCCCATAACATCGTTCAAGGAATTCGCTACCCTGTACTTGTTATTTCCGATGGTGCGACAATCACTTGCTGGCATATTACCCTTCCGCACCGTTCCCTACTTTCTTCACAATAGGGTTCCACATTCTCACCTCGTTTCAATATATCTTCTGAAGCTCCGAGAGCAGACTTGTTCATTCCACATGGTTTACACTACTAGTAGCAATAATGGATGTACTTCCTGCCAATCTCGTCCTTACTCTATTAGTATACAGAGTTTGAGTGACAGTTACGCGGTATTGAAAGGCGGTACCTCTGCGCCAGAACAAGGCGTTCTTTTTTTTCTTTTTGAAATTCCTTAGGATTTCATACAGAATAACAACGTATATTCAGTACCTAATAGTTCAGTACAGATCTATCATAGATTTTTTTTTCCATCTCCGCCGTGAATGACAGCTTGAAAAAAAAAAGCAATCCCGTCAACGAGTTGCCTAGAGAACGAAAATTAAGGAAATCGCAACGGTGAAACCAACGACGACTTTGGAGGACAAGAGCTGCGCAGCACCACCTGTCATTGTCGCATACGGGTTCGAGCTCGCAGATTGAGTTGGGGAACTGCCAGAGTTTCCTCCCTGCGATGACGTGCTGCCGTTCTGCACAGACGTGATGTCAACTGGGACCATCAACGGCGTACTCCCTGCATTGCTGAGGCTAACACTCCCATCCTCGTTAAGGGTTTCCGGGTTGGCAGCCAGGAACGTACGGGTGTACCTTTGAGATATCAGCTCAGACTCCTAGATTCCTAGTCTAGAACTTACATCACATTCTCGGCCACGTATTGATAAGCCCACTGAGGCATGCCAGACATATCAATGCCACCCCCCCAGCCCGCTGCCATGGTATTATTTTGAGTCATCATTTGCGTGTACTGCCACATAGCGCCCATGGCCGAACTCTGACGAACTCTGTTAGCAAGTAAGAGGGAAATTTGGCATACCTACTTACGTTTGCAGCCATAGCAGGCATCATGCTGGATAACGACATGTTGCTTCCCATAGCAGCATTCGGAGGGTTTCTGACACAAGACGTGAACATCAAATAACGCCATAGTAGCCGACATTCGTCCGACGTACATGATACCGAACATGCCTTTCTGGCAGTGACCTGGAGTACCGCAGTAGAAGAATGTGCTGTTTGTATCGTTGACCATCTGTTGGACTGGAAGAAAACCTCAGAGAGATCACTAGACGCGAAGTTCCGCTGCTTACAGACAAAACTTTTGTTTTGTTCACCCGAGGCAAACGGCGCATCCGTGGTCTTATTACAAATCTAAAACAGCTTTCCTATTAGATATGTATTTGTTACGAGCAGAGGAATCACATTACCGCGAGTTCCGACGACTTGGTGACAGTATGGTTGTTTGCGTTCCACACAAACACAACGGTGTCCCCGACAGACGCATTGACGACAAATGGAACATAACGAAGGATTCCCTGAGTCGGCGCGACAACGACAGTATGAGACATGCCACTAGCAGTGGTGCCGGTCGCAGTAGTAGTACATGGAGGCGTGGTCGAGGGTGTGGTTGATGTCGTGTAGATGTTGCCACCGCAGGTGCATGGGGGCGTAGCCCATCCGTTACTTGATGCCGAGGAGCTGCTTGCTGACCATCCGCTGCTTGGCGACGTGTAGCTGTTCGCTGACCACCCGCTGCTTGGCGATGTGTAGCTATTCATCGATCCCGTGCCGCTCTGCGCCGCGTAGCTGTTCACCGACCACATACCACTAGCGACCGTATTATTCGCTGGCCAGGCTGCCGCAAGTCCCGCTGCGATGCTGGCCAAAAAAATTCTAGAAAACATGGCACAAAAATGGGTCGAGAATCAACTCGACTAAGACGAAATGAGAAGAGGAGAAGGGCAGGAAGGAAAGAGGGTGGGGGGATCCGCGAAAATAAGTCCTCATGAAATACCGTACAGTCCCATTTTCAAATAAAAGTTTTATCGCCGTTTTGTCACCCGGGGTGACCGAGACACTATTTGAAAACCTTCGTCGCGACGACGATGGGATGGCAACTGTTTGAGAAATAGTCAAGGGTTCCACATTTTTCACGTCCCTTCAATGTCACTGACCCGTATTTGCTTGATCACCCGCCTGTCAACATATCACTTCTGTAACTCGGAGAGCAGAATTATTCGTTCTGTATGGTGTTCGCTACTCGCAGAGATAATGGATGCAGTACTTCCTTCCTTCCGAGTCACGTCGATCTTGTCATTACGTAAGTACTACAATGTACCGAAGTTGCAAATTCGTGTGGCTCCTATCAGTCTCACTGCTCATGCCATGACCCAACCCGTCGTCCGTCCGCAGTTTACTCCACTGCCATGTGACACAAACACTAGTGCTGAATACGCTCCCCTCCGGACATCATGCAGCGGCAGGACTGAGATATGGACACCCATCATACGCTGCCCTGCTCCATTCACAACCGAGTTTGTGAGTTGTACCAGTTTCATATCGCAGGTTGATAATGATTACTAGTTCCAATTGAAATACGGCCGCGCCATCCGTCCCACGTGCTGATACTATCGCATCCGACCTGCCCATTTGCCAGTTTGAAAACGCAGTGGACCAACTCGTACACCACCCAGAGTACAACTCGACACTTATATTACGATCCGAGACGCTGAGCGATGTGCGTTTCTCGGAGGATGACGGTCCAGCCCGTGAACAGGAAGATGCTGAGACGATGCTGCTCAAGGCTCTTACGCACTGCGATCTCGAGGGATATAGACCTGTGCGTGCGATACGCCGACGGCTGTTACCGCGCAGGCCGGGAAGAGATGCGAGTCTTGAACAAACGTGTGTATTTTATACCGCAACGGTCACAAGCACGGAAGTAGGAAAAGTACATGCTCTGGAGGGGGAACATACTACTACACCGATGTACGAAGACGAGCAAGACAGCGCAACATCGCTGCTGATACTGACTCCGCTCTTGAAAGACGGCGAATCATTGCCTTATTACCATCCTGCAGTAAGGCGTCTTGCAGTGAGGTACGTCCAGAATATCCAGGAACCTTGTAGTGAGTCGGAAACGACGACCCTAGCTTCTGGTATGCTCCTCATCGAAGCCGTCCTCCCCCCATCGGGGCCCACCCCACCTCATCCACCCGACTCTAATTCCCGCCTCTACCGAACCTGCCTCGCCCTTCTTGACACTGTCCACCGATATGGGTGGGGCGCACTCACGCATTATCGCAAACGTGTCCACCATGACACGCTCGTCCCACGCGAGACATACCAAGATCTATACCTCGTCCTGCGAGAGCGGTACAAGCATCTCGTCAGTCAATGGAAGGAGGCGACGGATCCAGCAAAGCATGTGTTCGAGGTGAGTTCATGCATCCTGAGATCTTTGTGTGAGATGTCATTGACGGGGTCGGTCGTGTGCCGGTTTTTTATATATGTAGGATGTAGGCATTGCAACTTTTTTGATGTTGTTCTGGAAGGCGACGTATGGGACTCGTCGCGATGGCAGTGTCGAACCTGATGCTGATCATGGAGGCGGGGCGGATACAAATATGATGCCATGCAGAAACTGGCCTCGTCCTGCGGGTGGGTTTCTGGACCTAGGGTGCGTGCACACACCCCACCGATTCTCGTTTTCATTTCTCTGAGCGATTGTTTACCTCTGTGACAGATGCGGAAATGGACTCTTAGTTCATATCCTTGTTTCTGAGGGGTACGTTGGTCATGGTATCGATGTGCGAGCACGCCAGTCCTGGTCTCACTATCCCGAAGCGACGAGAAAAGCTCTGCACGTCTACTCCCTTGATCCTACGGGTTACATCCACCACCCTCGAACAGAATCCGCAGGATCAAGTGGCAATCTAAAATCCTCCGACGATACCAAGAACGACACCGGAACAGACTTCTTCAAGCCAGGCGTCTTCCTCATCGGAAACCACGCCGACGAGCTGACGCCATGGGTGCCTGTATTGGCGACGCTCTGCGATGCCGTAGGATACCTTTCCATCCCCTGCTGTGCATGGGGATTCGATGAGCGGTTTGCGAGGTCTTCGACAGCGACATCTTCGCTGCTTTCGTTCTACTGCAGATCATCTCTATATGATCCATCTACTATCAACCTCGAGGGAGACATGGACGACGAATCTGCGTTCATAGAAACCCTCAATCTTGGTGCAGAGGGCACTCGTAAAAGTCAGTACTCGGTGTATAGAATATGGTTGGCAAGATTGAGTCGGTGGATGGGGTGGAAAGTTGAATGCGAGGTGTTGAGGATTCCGAGTACGAGAAATTGGGGGGTCGTTGGTACGTGATCATGCCGTAGTTTCGTTTTTGTATACTTTCGTCTGACGGAGTCGATAGGTCGGGAACGGTTGCACGTTGGAGGAGATGAGGATGGGGAGCTGTTCAAGGAACGAGCGAGGGAGATTGTGAGGGAAGTTGTGAGACGGGGCGTGTTTAAGACGAGGAAGCCAGAGGGCAAAGCGGGAGATCACTAAACCATAGTGGACTTCGACTACTAGGCGTGTATAAACTGTCTAAATCCTTTCCTCTAGGCTGCGTATACATAAAAGACACGGAGGGTACATCAAACAGACATAGGGTATGTATGAGCCAACGAAAGCAGTCAAACAAAATCAAAGTGGGAAGAAAAATGATGGTTGCTGGTCAGCCTCCGCCGACATCCTTCTACACTCCTCCAAAAGCTCCCTTAACTCGGCGACATTGCTCACCCTTGCTGACGTCCGTTCTTCCTCGTGGTCTGTATAATCCTCATACTCGCCTTCCTCTTCTTCGTCACTCCCGTCGGGTTCTCCGACAGGATCCCGCGGGAGGTTCCCTAGCAGCCCGGCCGAACAATCTTCCAATCTCACACGCATGGATTCGCATGCATCCCACCACCTTTCCCATCTCTCAAAACACTCGCCTGCTCTCGGTCCATTTTCGTCATTTAAATCCTGCAACAATAGCGGGTTCAGAATCCTCACTCGCTCGAGGCGGGGAAACGATGCGCGAGAGAGAGCGCGGAAGTTGGCGTCGTTAGTGCGCTGGACGAGGAGCGTGCGCAAGGGGTCAGCGGAGATGTATGCGGAGGCGTAACCGACTCCGAAGGCGTATATGCACCCATGGAGACCTATGTGGCGGATGTGCTCGTGTGGGCGGTTGGTTAGGGATATCGGAGCGAGATCGGCATCTAAATCGGCATTGGGGTCGTTGTTGGAGCCATCATGATTGAGGGAGGTAGATCGTTCGGGAGGGGGGATTTTCCAGTCGAGGTTGAAGCAGAAGGTGGTAAGGATTGGACAGAGATCCAGGATGGCGCGTATGTCTAGTGCGGGCACGCAGTTTAGATCAAGGAAGAGAAGAGTTGCACCGTGTTGGGCGAGGAAACCAGTGACGTCAGGTATGTCGTGCGTATTAGCTCCAAAGTCGAAGGAGAAAGTGTTGAACATAGGTAACGTCCACCCCGCAGCTTGTTCCATAAACTCCTGGCAGAACCCCTTTAGAAAGAGTTGTTGGAGACTAGGTAGAGTCAGTTTGACGGATTCCGCGGATCCGAGGGTGATAGTGTCAGGTTCTTTGATTGCCTCGTCGAATGTGAGGTGGACAGAGATGAGACTAGGAAGGGATGCGAGTGCCCATATAACTTTGGAGACCAGTTCGGATGGGACATGCCAGTGGGCTGTGCGGAGGTTGCGACAGTATGCTCCTAGCGTATCAGCGACGGCTCCGAACGCGGTTGACATTGGCCAATCTACGATAAATATTTCAAGGTTGGGCGTCTGCGCGAGGATGGCCAGGAGGGGCTCTTCAAAGTCGTCCATGGTTGGACCGCGCCCGTTGAAGAAATGGGTGATGTGCAAGCGACGAACCCACCACCCCAGGGATGTATCTCTGTCCAGGATGCGACGAAGGTCACGCAGTTTAGTGGGATTGTCAAAGAAGAGACATCGGACGAGGAACTCGGTTCCAAGTTGTCTCCATCGTTTGCAGGTTCGGATGATGGCCTGACATACACACATCATCAATTCATCGGTGTGTAGCGCGGCAAGGTATAAAGATTTAAAAAAACTCTCACTTTCTTCGTCGCGTAACTCCTCCGCTGTATGATGTTGATGGTATCCTGTGGTGTTCTGACCTTCCAGTCGCCATAGATGGCGCGAGCCCAGGTGGACTGAGCCATGCTGGTTGGCAGACCTGGATAGAATATGACATCCTCGTCCGCGGCGAGGTCGAAGATGTGAGACCAGAGCTCGGGTGGGAGCCTGTCTGCCATCTTTTTAGAAATAATACGCTTTGCCAGTGTCCGCTGCAGATCCAGCTTGTTCGCTATGCCCTCAAGTTTGCTAGAGTATGTAATAGACTTGGGAAGACACGCCTGGTCATGTGATCGTGCCATATTCGATAGTTCCCACCCCTGTCCCAGTGCTTCTGGTCACCAGACCACTCTTCCCAAGCGCCCTGGTCGGGTACAAATATACCCCACTGGCTTGTCCTCCTCCTCACTTGCACTGTACCTGCCCATAATGTCAACCGTAGAGATCAACGACGCAGTCTTCTGCGTACACCTCAAGGAAGTGGTATGTCCATTACATCACATACATACACGACAAACCGCTTATCAGCTTCCAACCCTGCAATCACATAACTACTCCCACGTCGTCTATTAGTGCAAGGACTGTGACTACGACGGTCGCGAGGAGAATGACGGGTTCTATGGGGTTCGTCTCCCTCCTTCGCCAGGCATGCATTACTGTAATCACATCCTTCAGTTTGACGCCATCAACCGTGAGCCACTCCAACCCCCGGCTGTGACTACGAACAAGGATGGTGTGTATCAGTGTAAGAAGCATGGATCTGCGGGTCAGTCCACTGTGTCTCTCACCCCCACAGACGATATCAACTAACGAGTCATGCGACAGAATGTAACCTGTGTTTCGGGTGGAAGAAACAGATTACCAGATTGAGGACTGCTGCGAAGAAGGCGGGAAAGAAATGATGGTCGATCTACGAAGGGTTAATGTTGTGTACTTTTAATGCTGTACTTTGACGATGAACACCATCATCGCATGTGAATCCATGCCAGAGTCTTGTCATAGAAGTGCGTTGGTCTTATCAGAGACTCGGCAAGAAGTACAGCCGGTCTATCAGTTACACGCACCATAATGTCTCTGACACCGCAACAAATTAGATTACCAGACCAGATTCGACGCACCTACAAAACGTCCCGACGAAAGCATGGTTTGGCATGTTCGATACGAATGGGTACAGATACTGTAAACTCGACCACAAATCAACAGAGAACCACATTGCAGAATGCAGCCGAGAAAGAAACCACACTCACGCGACCACTGCACGCTCAAAATCAAATTATCATACCCCTTCCCATTCAACTTCCCCATCGCATTCTGCGCACTCATCCAATCCTCAAAGCTCACGAAAGCAAAACCTTCACCAATACCCGTCTCTCTATCCCTCCCGACATACACACGGATGACACTACCCAAAGCTCCAAAGAACTCGCGTAGATCGTTTTCTTGGGTTTCTTCGGAGATGTTGGTCACGCGTAGCGTGGGGAACTCATCACGTGAGGTGCCTGGCCCACCGGCACCCAAACCCGGGGCATCGATTCGCCTGGCCCACGTATGCGCATCGAGGGAGGGACCTATTTGCCTGTCGTAGGTGCCGGCTCGGGTTCCGCTGCAGCATTCGCAAATGTACCCTCGTCAGGAGTGTCTTTCAATTGTTTGTCAACCCCTGACCAGTTCAGAAAACATGGTAGAGTTTCGACGTACCTGATGTTTCCGGCCCTGCAAGGTGGTCCTTGTAAGGACATTTTGCAGTCTCCTTTACAAAGTCTACAAGAGACTTTTCCACCTCCCGCTTTCACAAGTTCAGCCTTGATCGTCCGTTCTGCGAATGGTTCCGGTTCCGAGGACTGCGTCATGAATAGTAAACAACGTCGAACGTGATAAAAAGTATCACAAAATGTCCACGTACTTTGTTACCGGCAGTTATCTTGAGCGTAACGTTCTCGCCGACTGTCGTCGTAGCGTGATCCGGGCTTTCTTTGTCTCTCTTTCCTTGCCGAATTTGGCCCATTTTTTGCGTTCTGCAACAGGGTGCTCGACGATGAACTCTTGGAGAGTACGTTTGATTTTTCAGGTTATCTATTCACTATCGGAGTCAACGGGGATCAGATTAACGTGTGTACTTGAACAACGAAATGATAGCGGAAGTAAGCAGGAAAAGCACAAGAATGAGACTGACCTTGACTTTCTTTCCCTAGCGTCGTTAATAGTACATTCGACGGCGACATGGATCCCATTCTCGTCCACGTAATCTTCGATTATATTGGGTTGATCTGTCGACGATGGTATCCGTCATCATGGAATCCGCGCGGACGATACCACGAAAAAACAGCGAAGTTCGAGTCAATCGACCGAAAAACAACTCAAGAGTGATTCTCTCTCCCACGAGATACCTGATTACACAGGGCGGATAATACATACCGAGTTCGTCGACATCATCGGCCCATGATGTTTTCTGCGTGCTGTTGGTAAGCCTGTGTATCAGTACCCAGTAGTATGGCGTAATTAAACGCTATAGTACGCACGTTGTCTTGTGAGGTTTCGGAGTGGGCGATGGTATTTTTGCGTTTGGTGACAGCTCTATGTCGGAAAATTATTCGGTCCATTGCAATGATGTCAGATTTTTACACGGTGATAATCAGTTCATGATAGATTGCGTGTGTATGGAAAGCCAGACACTCGCGCCACATAATTTTTGAACTCAGCGCCGAACGCCCGAGCACTTCCTACTTTTGAAAAAAAAACTTTTGGCGAGACCCCAATCACCATTATACCATTGTTGAACATCCAATACAACAAGTCCATTCGCTATTGTGCCAACGTCCGAAGTCCCATCACCATGAGTTCACATGCTATAGTGATAGATTCGGCGGTCATTTACAAAAAATATTGTGTAGTTTTATCTGAGTTCAATATTACATAGACCCACAGCTTAGAGTACATATGTGTCTAATGTCTAAGTGGTTGAATGAAGAGACTTCGATCCATGGCTGAAAGCCTTCATCCCAAAGCCTTCTCATCTACAAAACAAGTTGCAAATATGTTGATTCTCGAACAGCGCCACCCCTTTCTCCACATTCCCCTCACCGAAGAGTCTTTGACCTTCAGCAACATCACTAGGGACAATAAAAGAGCACGGGATGTTGACAAGGTAGAATACTGAGTAAAATGTACTTACAGATGTGTGAGGATCTGTGGATCTGTCAAAAGCAGTCTGCTACCTGGTTGAACTCATGTAAGTAGATGCATGAATAGTGCTGCCTATCACCACAGCTTACCTTGATAGTCAGATATGTATACTTGACCACCAGTCATGATGTACTGTACGTGTTGAGTAAAGGCCAAAAAGTCCGTGATCTCTTCTGCCTTTGTATCCAGAAGGAAGCAAGGAGCCACATTGCCATTGTGGATGTACTTCACAAACTCATCATCTGAGGACATGTGGATGAGTTCCTCAACAAGGTATGTGACATTCACAATACTGCTGGGCTTGGACGGCTTCCCAGACCCCCTTTCTGTTTCCACTGGCACATCCAAATACACAAATAACAATCCTGTGTCCACAAAGTGCAGGTGAGGGATTTTGAAAGGTGGTGGTACCTTGGTATCTTTGACAGCACGATCAATGAATTGGTATGTCATCTGCAAGAGTGCTTTGGCCCAGTACAAAGCGTTAGCTTCATGGTAGAGTATGTTGGACTCGTCTTGTAGGGCATAACATGTGAATGGGGGTTTGACTTCCGCAGGATGGTCATCGATATACGGTCTTTTGAGGACGATGCGATCATTGGGAGATGACCTGATACCTGTGTCCCTGAGAGGTGATAGGTTGAGTTGTGCAATTTGGGCCATCTTGAATGCTCTGACTCTGATGATTGAATCGGCAGAGGCATCGAGCCAGTGTCACACACCAAAGGTGTTTGGTGAGGTGGACATGGATGTAGCTGATGAATGGAGGTGAAGACCATAGCCCTCATGTGAAGAAGGACAGCCAGCAATGTCAGCAGTCATCCCTCGCACAAGAACAAGTTGTCAATAGCAAAGAAAAAGGAGGAGGCAAGTTAAGCGCCAATAAAATTCTTAAGCACCTGTGTACGGCATTCCAGGTTTTCGACATATCTCCACCAGTTCTGCAGACACCGAAACCATTCCCACACTCACTTGTAGTGCTCAGCCACACAATCCTACCTTCCAGGATTGGAAAGGATTTGCGCACTCCACACATTTCTACAGCACTCCCTCCAAAAGACGCTCATTTTGCTAGTTCTTCTGATATGGCTGCCTCCACATCAGTCATTTCACTTGTCCCCTTTGCTAGGGACCATGGCTACATATATCTACCAGGAGTTCCTACCAGCTTCTGTCCTGAAGCATCCTGGTACATCCCACCCTCATCTGCCCCCTCTCAGCCCATCCCAGCTTGGACAGCATGTTCTTTTTGTCAGTATGACCTCCAGGAGGACATTCTTTGGTTGCCTCAGGTCTGTCATTCACTTGGAAAGGTATTATGTGGTTGTTTCAGTCTCTCCAGTCCAAGAAGCATATGGATCCTTCCTCCCTGCCCCCTGCAATGTCTTCATACCAGTCTTGTCTGTCATTCTTCCAAAATTGCAACAGCTACAGTATAATCTACTGTTCTCCACTCTCCCTGATCACATCCATGATGAGTATGATGCACATCTTGCCTCCTTGTTGCAAGATACAGCAGAAGATGCTCCCCCTTCATCCTCTCTTCCAACAGAGCCTCATTCATGAAGTTTTTATTTGCTTCACTGAGAGGATGGTTTGGGGGGGAAAGTTGCAATCCCCTACACTCCTGTCACCCCACAGACCCCCAAAGCTTGACCCCTGTTGACATCTGACTCACCCTGTCCACTTTTGGATGTACTATATCGGCATCAGATCAGCACTGCCTCTCTGTCATCCCACTTTGGCCTAGAAGTGATCTCTTCGAGATGTGACATGCACAGCCTCCCCCTAATGTGATTCCAGTGCACTTTCCCAGTTCCTGACATTGCTTGACTCATACTGTGACATTCTGACTGTCTTTGACTCACCTATTGCCAATACTTACCAATCTTTTGACTTTGCTTACTGATTCTTCGCTTTTTGGCTTACTTATCCTTACCAATGCTTACCAATGCTTTCCAAGATGATTACCCATCGCTTACATTCCTTACTCATCAGTTACCAATCACTTACCAAGTGTTTGCACCTTGTTTTCCATAGGCAACACCCCTGTACTGTATATAAGTCACTGTACTTAGGTAGCAAAAAGAAAAAAGAAGACATCAGAGAGCCCCTCTTGCTCACAATTTATCATCTCTCAGTAAATCATTCATCAGCTTCGATAGTTGAGACTTTATTAAGGGTCTAGCTATCATCTACTTGGCTTATCATCATCTATCATCCATATACTTCACTCCAAGCCCTCCCTGAGCTCAGTACAGCTTAGGACATCAAATTAAGTCACCATCCATCCTTCTGTAGGCTGACAGCAGTCTACCCTATCGCTTTCTATCACATTCTTGCTCCCTCTTCATCAGGAGCACCCCCAACCCTCAGCACTCATCTTTGAGTGTTGTAGCTTGCAAAAAATCCTCCCAAAGAACAGGTTCTACCATCTAGGTACTGCATAGGCACACCACCACTTGCTTTCATTGTCTTTTGTGTTGGTTTTGGTTGGTTTTCACCACTGAACCTCACTTTGACTCACACCATGGATTTTCCCAGAGCAAAGGTAGCATTTCTAATATCGAATGCAGCCTTCTCGCTGACCAGATTGTTAAGATCACGGGTCGGGATGAGGTAAAAGTCCACTTGTATGACTTTCTGCTGGAAGACTAAGATACATCAGTACTTTGAAACTACAATGATATCAACTGGAAAGTCTGCTTACCTGTCTTTACATTGAATTTGGAGGCCCCCCAGACTGTAATGCTTTCTTGATTTGATTGCGGTTGGGGGACAAGAAAGTTTTCGCAGATCTCTTCTGGGGCAGAAGGGGAGTAGAACCGCTGGACAAACTACTAGTATGATGGTGGTGGCGTTTACTGGACATCACACTTGAATTAGTGGGTGGCACCATATCCTATGTTCAATGCATTAGTGGATGGGTTGGGTCAAAATCATGTTGGAGCTAAGCATACCTTTTCTCCATCCTGAAGATGTGCCACATCGTGTGAGATTGGGCGATCAAACATGCTACTTGACATCGTAGAAACCACTCCCTTGGAGAAAGAAAGAGTGGATGGCTCAGAAATCATCGTGCTCCAAGGTACAACCAGCATCGAGGCCGTAGAACCAGGGAGAGAAGTGCTCAAGCTGGCCCGAGATGTCTGCTGTTCGTGGGCAGGTGGGCTAGAGTGGAGCTTCTCTCGAAATTCTTCAAATTCTTCCCATTGATTCACAGGTACAATGATGAATAACATGAACTGTTTTGATTTAAAAACCTTCGCTTTTGATCCTTTCTGATTGCTGTCATGGAGACAGTCACCATAAAAGTATGCTGTTGGGCTTGAATGTCTGGAAAGGTCAACCCATTTACTGTCATGGATGAAGAATTCCTCCTCTCGCCAGGGAAACTGTGGGCAGTAATCTTTGATGCGCAGTACCAAAATGCCAAGTGCTATGGCCGAAAGTTCATGTGCAGTGCTCAGTGCATCAACATCTTTCAGCCCCTCACAGATACTCTATTGAACTCGATTAACACTGCTCATACAATCTGAATCGAGCAAAACTTACCCTGATGTTGTTTGCTTGCAGATTCTTCTTTTTGCCCCCAGCTCTGAAGACTGCCCATATTTCTAAGGAGATTGTCTCTGTGGGAGGCAGATTGTGAGCCATGCATGCCCAACATTCATGTTGAGCTGCATAATGCACATGATGTGCGCTATAACCAGTGGAGCCAGGTGGCAGCGTGATCATGTGGCCTGATGCAGCATTTGCTGGAGGGTTTGCTGGCCGAGGGATGTCCTGCCAAGCGGATGGCACTTGGACACTTGGACCAGCAGGGAAAAACTTGGAGTTGTGATGAGCAGTTGGCATTGGCAGTGGAGGCATCAGCATTGCCAAGTTGCCGAGGTTTGGAGCAGCATTTGACATGGCCATGATGGCAGGGGGGTTGACCGAAGCTATGAATAAGTTGAGTTTAGCAGCAAGTCTGAACGCACAGATTGGACATACCTCGTGACTGTGCAGTGCTTATGGACTGATGTATGTACTGTGGATCAGGTAATGCTGAGGATGTATGAGTCCAAGCCCAACGAACAGAGCAGAACATACATACCATTGGTGTTTTGTGCCCAAGCTATGGTGGCAGGTTTGTTCTTGTACCACCTATGACACACTTCACAGATGAATTTACCAGGCTGAGCAGGATCATAGGAAACAACATAGAGGCAAGGCTTGCCCTTGCATATCAGAGCTTGGCACCAAGACTGCTGGCAGATCCTGTCTTCTTTTGTGAACACATCCTCAGTAAACTGAGTAATGAGGTTTGAAACAGATGCTTGCATGGGGGAAGGATCACAAGATAACAAAGATACTGAGTGAATGGGCAAGAACGACGGTAAACAGGTTAAGTACGATCCACCAGATGATGACCGGCTGGCATCCCAGTTGATGGAACCACTGGCACACACAAGGCCTGACCATAAAAATGTAACAAACTTCCTTCCTTAGCTAGTTTGTCATGAGATAAATTCCAGGCACTTACTTCAGTCAAGATGGAATCAGATGATGAAATATGTGAGGATGTTTCATGCAGCGGCCCTAGCATTGACCTTAAGTGTAGCAGACAGCTGATGAACTTTGGAACGGGTCCTCGAATGGATTTGGAAGCCTACCTGTAGGTTTCAGAGGAACACAACCATTGTCACACACCAAAGGTGTTTGGTGAGGTGGACATGGATGTAGCTGATGAATGGAGGTGAAGACCATAGCCCTCATGCGAAGAAGGACAGCCAGCAATGTCGGCAGTCATCCCTTGCACAAGAACAAGTTGTCAATGCCAAAGAAAAAGGAGGAGGCAAGTTAAGCACCAATAAAATTCTTAAGCACCCATGTACAGCATTCCGGTTTTCAACGTATCTCCACCAATTCTGCAGACACCGAAACCATTCCCACACTCGCTTGTAGTGCTCAGCCATGCGATCCTACCTTCCAAGATTGGAAAGGATTTGTGCACTCCACACATTTCTACAGCACTCCCTCCAAAAGATGCTCATTTCACTAATTCTTCTGATATGGCTGCCTCCACATCAGTCATTTCACTTGTCCCCTTTGCTAGGGACCATGGCTACATATATCTACCAGGAGTTCCTACCAGCTTCTGTCCTGAAGCATCCTGGTACATCCCACCCTCATCTGCCCCCTCTCAGCCCATCCAGCTTGGACAGCATGTTCTTTTTGTCAGTATGACCTCCAGGAGGACGTTCTTTGGTCGCCTCAGGTCTGTCATTTGCTTGGAAAGGTATTATGTGGTTGTTTCAGTCTCTCCAGTCCAAGAAGCATATGGATCCTTCCTCCCTGCCCCCTGCAATGTCTTCATACCAGTCTTGTCTGTCATTCTTCCAAAATTGCAACAGCTACAGTATAATCTACTGTTCTCCACTCTCCCTGATCACATCCATGATGAGTATGATGCACATCTTGCCTCCTTGTTGCAAGATACAGCAGAAGATGCTCCCCCTTCATCCTCTCTTCCAACAGAGCCTCATTCATGAAGTTTTTATTTGCTTCACTGAGAGGATGGTTTGGGGGGGAAAGTTGTGATCCCCTATGCTCCTGTCACCCCACAGACCCCCAAAGCTTGACCCCTGTTGACATCTGACTCACCCTGTCCACTTTGGATGTACTATATTGGCATCAGATCAGCACTGCCTCTCTGTCATCCCACCTCAGCCTAGAAGTGATCTCTTCGAAATGTGACATGCACAGCCTCCCCCTAATGTGATTCCAGTGCACTTTCCCAGTTCCTGACATTGCTTGACTCATACTGTGACATTCTGACTGTCTTTGACTCACCTATTGCCAATACTTACCAATCTTTTGACTTTGCTTACTGATTCTTCGCTTTTTGGCTTACCAATCACTTACCAAGTGTTTGCACCTTGTTTTCCATAGGCAACACCCCTGTACTGTATATAAGGCACTGTACTTAGGTAGCAAAAAAAAGAAAAGAAGACATCAGAGAGCCCCTCTTGCTCACAATTTATCATCTCTCAGTAAATCATTCATCAGCTTCAATAGTTGAGACTTTATTAAGGGTCTAGCTATCATCTACTTTGCTTATCATCACCTATCATCCATATACTTCACTCCAAGCCCTCCCTGAGCTCAGTACAGCTTGGGACATTGAATTAAGTCACCATCCATCCTTCTGTAGGCTGACAGCAGTCTACCCTATCACTTTCTATCACATTCTTGCTCCCTCTTCATCAGGAGCACCCCCAACCCTCAGCACTCATCTTTGAGTGTTGTAGCTCACAAAAACCCTCCCAAAGAACAGGTTCTGCCATCTAGGTACCACATAGGCACACCACCACTTGCTTTCATTGTCTTTTGTGTTGGTTTTGGTTGGTTTTCACCACTGAACCTCACTTTGACTCACAACGTGTACAGACATTACTGGAAGATGAAAGTAGTTTTTATGTGATCATCATTGGTTCGCCCCCTGGTATTCATCGCACAGCATGAGTCTTTAATCTCATACTATGTAGTTTGTAGCTTGATTTCATTCAGTGAGAGTGCAACTCATGCTGAAGGGTCATTTAAATACCGTGTACGAAGGGAAACTACTTCGTTTTGGACTGCATTAGCCTTCATGATCGTCAAAGGAGTCCCACAATGCATGCCACCCATGTTGACACACGACCAGATAGGTGAAAGTCCCCCTCCAGGCCACAGCCAATTCTTTGGCTGAACAGCTCCATTGCTCGCTATCCATTTTGCCTCAATCTCAACAAACTACCTCAATGCCTTTGCGTGCTTCTACGTCATCGTCTGACCTGACCTTTTTGCATACCTCATCTACATCTCGCTCCTCCACTCTGACATCAACTGTCTCATCTAGGTCAGAGGCCGTGATCTCTCCCATCATTTATAGTCATGTCCATAATCTTCATGGCATCGTTTCCAGCAATTATTATCCAACTTCGACTTCACGTGTCTGGAACCTTGCTCACCCACTTGGTGACCTAGTGGCTTGCTATCTTGCATCCCATGGATATGGCACTGGGGACATCAAACATTATCCAGGCGCATGAGTGTGTGCATAACAATGAAGATCTGGTTATTTTTCTTGCTGGCCAGGGTATGTCTGTTAGTGAAGCAAGATTTTTGTTGCGGCTTGTAGATCTATGGGATATTGGGCTTAGATAAAACTCTATGCTACTGTTTTGTAAATGACTGTCGAATCTATTGCTATAGCATGTGAACCTATGGTAATGGAACTTTGGACATTGGCACAATGACGAGTGGACATCTATCAACTGGCACAATGGTGATTGGGGTCTCGCTGAAAGTTTTTTTTCGAAAGTAGTAAGTGCTCAGGCGTTCGGCACTGAGTTCAAAAATTATGTGGTGCGAAGTGTCTGGTGTTCCATACATGTGAGAGTGTGGAGTTGCAATATGCTGGCAATGCTGTTGCAATGCCCTTTGCAACAGTGACTGCTACTGTCTGTGTCTCACTTTGCTGACCACTTGTTTTTCTTTATTGTATTTACTGTCTTTACTCTCACAGGATGCATTCCCTTTGTCAACCAGTAGTATGCCTCTGGAAAAGCACACTACTACCTGTGAATCATGTGGGAAAATGTTCAAGCCTATCAGTAGACCACTTTGTGAGCTGGTAGTCCTAGGGAATCTGTCCAGTGCTGGACAGCTCTGGACAGCTCTGGCCAGCAAAAGTGATTTACTGATGAGCTGACTGGAATAGGACCTCATCACAAATTGTGCATCAGGTGGGCTTGCAAAACAAATGAAGATCATGCTCACTTTGACTTGCTTTGTTGAGAAGGTACATAGGAATTTTACCAGTTGATTTTATTTCTGATTTACCACTGGATTGATTTGAACAGGCATTCTTACTGGTGGATCAGTGACAGGGCCCACTGTTGAGATGCATGCAGAGCCAGCACTGGGTAAGTTTCCTGCTACTCTCCGAATTGGACTCTCACAATTGTTAGCAGAGCCTGCCACATTCTGGCCCATGGTTATGGATCTTGAGCTGCCTGCTGGTGCTGATGTGGGTGCAAATGATGAACTGAATGGTGCATGTTGATATGTGATCACATATTTCCCATGCCAATATGTTATGCAGTTGCTGAACCTGAGGTTGATATCAACATTGTTGACAATATCCAAGTTGAATACCACCCAAATGCTGGAAAGCCAACTGTGAAAGTGCTGTTCACCAAGTTCACCCGAGGTCCACATAGTGTAGTCACATTTAGTCACAACACATGGGCAGCCTGTGTGCCAAAACACCAACACTCATATAGACCCTGAGATGGGCCCACCTAAATAGATTAGCCAGTACACATGGACAGGCCTGAGGGACTAAAGTGAGAGCAACATATGTATGGGCCTGTAAGTGCATTACCACAACATATGGGAGGGCCTGCTGTCACACACCAAGGGTGTTTGGTGAGGTGGACATGGATACAGCTGATGAATGGAGATGAAGACCATAGCCCTCATGTGAAGAAGGACAGCCAGAAATGTCAGCAGTCATCCCTTGCACAAGAACAAGTCATCAGTGCCAAAGAAAAAGAAAGGGAGCAAGTTAAGCACTGGTTAAATTCTTAAGCACCTGTGTATGGCATTCTGGTTTTCGACATATCTCCACCATTTCTGCAGATACTGAGACCATTCCCACACTTGCTTGTAGTGCTTGGCCATGCAATCTTCCCTTCCAAAATTGGAAAGGATTTGCACACTACACACATTTCTACAGCACTCCCTCCAAAAGACACTCATTTCACTAAATTCTTCTGATATGGCCACCTCCACATCAGTCATTTTGCTTGTCCCCTTTGCTAGGGACCATGGCTACATATATCTACCAGGAGTTCCTACCAGCTTCCATCCTGAAGCATCTTGGTACATCCCACCCTCGTCTGTGCCCTCTCAGCCCATCCAGCTTGGGCAGCATGTTCTTTTTGTCAGTATGACCTCTAGGAGGATGTTCTTTGGTTGCCTCAGGTCTGTCATTCACTTGGAAAGGTATTATGTGGTTGTTTCAGTCTCTCCAGTCCAAGAAGCATATGGATCCTTCCTCCCTGCTCCCTGCAATGTCTTCATACCGGTCTTGTCCATCATTCTTCCAAGATTGTGACAGCTACAGTATAATCTACTGTTCTCCACTCTCCCTGATCACATCCATGATGAGTATGATGCACATCTTGCCTCCTTGTTGCAAGATACAGCAGAAGACACTCCCCTTTCATCCTCTCTTCCAACAGAGCCTCATTCATGAAGTTTTTATTTGCTTCACTGAGAGGATGGTTTGGGG